TTCGGCAGCGACACGTCACCACGAAATGCACCGCAACGAATCCGAACGTACCTACAATTAGTGAATGCTCTCACAGCAACCGATTTTTTACCAAAAACACACGGATCCGATACAGAATACAAAATCCACAACAAAACTACGCCAGCGCCCGCTGGAGGTGACGAAAAAAAGTTAAGGCCCGGAAATCGTTACAGAGTTTTGAATGCGTCCAGGATCGAAATACGTTCGTCTGGTTACAAAAAAATAAAACAAATTAACAATTCCGTTTTCAAATCTGTGTGTCTATGTGATCAATCCCTTCCTTGATCAAAATGGAATTAAGTCTTAAAGCAATGTTGTTTTCATCTTTTTATCTATTCAAAATACGTTTCCGAAAATTAATTACTGTTCTTTTATGCGTATGCCTTGAGAACGGCTATCTCATGGCATGGCATGCCTAATTTTTTTCTTTCGTAAATTTCAAATAACGATTTATGGAAAAAAAACTTAGAAGTCGCCCGGAAAGTGGGAAAAATAAACAAATTTGTTGAAACTTCAAGAAGCGTCGTCGTGCAGCTAAAATTATTTATAAAAACTCTCCAGCAAGATTTAATATCTAAATGATTGAGATTCAATGGGAACGTATACTACATCGACAATCGGTATCAATACGAGATAAATTAATGTTTCCAAAGTTTGAGAATCACTGATAAAATATGCAATTCGTGATGCGAAACGAAAGATACTTTTTCTACGAAAGAACAAAATCAGAATAAAGCGAACAATTACAGAAAAATAAAGTCATTTCATGTAATTAATAAACTATATAATAATATATCGATGATTAGGGTATTTCGTGAAAACCATCTATTGGACATTTTGTTAATCTTAACATTTTCCAAAAACACTGCGACGGTAAATAGTGCCTCATTGTGTCACTAGATGGTGTTAAAATGACGCGTCTGCCAACTTGGAAGGTGAATGAAGTTAGCCCCTCAAAAAATTTTTTGTTTCCCATTGTTCCCATTTGTTCTGCAGAACAAACAATTATTAACAGTGAACAATCATGAACAAATGATGAACAAACGAATTAATAGAAAATAAGTATAAAATAGGAAAAAAAAATTTTTTTGAGGGGCTAACTTCATTCACCTCAACTTGGATGACACCCCAATGTTGGTGTCCATAAATTATAAACTTAACTGTTGGTATGATAATACATTTATGTATATTTATTAATCATAATTATTTGTCGCATAGCGTAATTCCAAGACAGATTTTTTTTTCTAATTTAGTACTTAAATCTTGAAATTTGTTTTTTTTTCCCTACCTATTCGCAGGGGCTATTCCAGCTACGCCCGCGCGGGTAGGTGAGCTCACGGGTTCAACCTGTGAGAATTTGCTAACACTAGCCCTAGGGCTCGTCCTCGTAGAACTCGTCGATTACGACGAAGAGTTCAACGAGAGAACTAACCCATAGATAGACACAGCCCACTGAGTTTCTCGCCAGATCTTCTCAGTGGGTCGCGTTTCCGATCCGGTGGTAGATTCTGCGAAGCACGGCTCTTGCTAGGGTTCGTGTTAGCAACGTCATCAGGTTTGAGCCCCGTGAGCTCACCTACTAGTTAAGGCGACGCTGATATAGCCTCTCATGGCTATCAGCTTAAGTAGGAAAAAAAAAACCCCAAAACATTACTATAAAATTAGATAGGTAAAACTTACTATTACCTCGCTCAAATCCTTGATCTCTCTCTGTCTTGACTTCTAAGCGTATTTACAATCAAAATTCATTCTTAAACCGATAAACTAAAGACTGAATCACAATAATATATATTAAAAAAAAACCGCCACTCAACTTTAAGCTTTATCGCTCAAGAAATAAAGAGTTCATAAAGAGATTGTTGTCTGTATTGAAGCGGACAGGCTCCATTGGTTTCGTTGATTGATAAATTGTATATTTAAAAGCAATTAAAGTCTAATAATGCAATTCAAGTGCGTTTTTAATAGTTCGCAAGTGACTAAGGACAACGCGCTTGCTTTGTACTGTGAAGGACGCTTTGTAAAAAATGTCCATAAATTATTAAAACTAAATAAGGTGATTGCAACAGCAATGATTATGAAACAAAGTCAATCTTTTTTTCAGTGTACGGAATTCTAAATCGTCATAAGGAAGATTTATTAATAAAAACATCATCATCATTATTTCAGCCTGTCCACTGTCCACTGCTGAACATCTTCTTTGTCGCTTCCTCATTACTGAGAGGGTCGTGGCTACCTTGGTTTAGTTTTGGGACCAGCTTCCTCCAATGTTGGCTGCAATCGGCCTGCTTAATGACGCCCGGGACGCTGGTGTTTGTATCCTCCTTGACAATGCCCGTCCACCTAGTTGGCGTTCTTCCTCGACTTCTGGTTCCTTCCACGTGACCTACAACTATTAGTTTTTCAAAATGTTCAGGATTTCGTCGGGCCACGTGTCCGAACTACTTGAGGAGACGCTGCATACAAATCGTAGACAGACGGGTCTTGACGTTTAGCTCCGAGAGAATTGACACATTTGTTCGGTAAATATTATTTGAAGAGCAAGTTGGTGTAAGGATTAAGATGTCAGTGAAGGTAAGATACCTACCGTAATAAACTATATCAACTCATTTTTTAAACCATATTTCTTATTTTTATTTTGCACTTAAATATTACATCTCACCCCGACGTACCCTATATATGTATTTATTTACATATACGAAATTCCGTAGGCGTCCCACTTTGGCACAAAAAAAAAGGTCACGTTACACCTGCATCCAACGTGACCCGGCGATTTTCACCAGGTCGTCAGTCCTTTTGGTAGGTGGTCGTCCCACACGGCGCTTGCCAGTACGTGGTCTCCACTCGAGGATCTTTCTGCCCCATCGACGGTCCAATCTACGCGCTATGTGGCCTGCCTACTGCCACTTCAGCTTGCTAATCCGACGGGCTATGTCAGCAGCTTTAGTTCTTCTAGATCTCCTCATTTCTGATTCAGTCTCGTAAAGAAATACCAAGCATAGCCCTCTCCATCGCTCGCTGCGTGACACTGAGCTTCCTAAAAAGATCCCTTGCGAAGCACATACTAAAATACATAATAAATAAATACATAAATATATAAATACACAAAAAACATACATTTATATAATTAAAAAGCTTTTGCTTGGCCTAAATAGAAACATCACTATCGGTCTGCATTGAGCCCGTCAGCATTTAATGCGTTAAGGAACGAATTTTCTGGTAGAGCGTGCTTTAGGGATGCACAGTGTGAATGATTATGCTATTATCCTGCCTAATTCTGCAGCGAAGTGCTCACGACCGGTTTTGATGGTTGTATGTTTAACGGCCGTCTGGTGTAGTGGTAAGTGACATGGTCACTACACAAGGGGGTCGCGGGTTCGAATCCCGCCAAGGGAAGATATTTGTATGATAAATATAAATGTCTTTTCCAGGGTTATGGATGTATATTAAATATATGTATGTGTATAATAAAAATCTTACATTTATATCCGTTATCTGGTACCTGTAACACAAGTTCTTTACGAACTTAGCACGGGACCAGTTAACGTGGCGTGATTGTTAGTAAATATTTATTATTATTTATTTATTTATTATTTAGTTATGTTATAAATAAGTTTCGTTGTGATGTCTGTGTGGTTCCACTTTGCAACAGAGGAGTAAAGAGGCGGCTCTACCCATGGTGCAGTATGCAGGTACAGTGGTATTACGAAGCCCCAGCAGAGATACTTTCAAACAGCCTGTTATATTTTTATCATTTTTTTTAATCTACCTTCGTTGATAGCCTTGAGAGGCTGTTTCAGTTTTACCTTAGCATATAGGTGAGCTCACGGGGCTCAAACCGGAAGTGTTGCTAACACTGGCCCTAGCAAGAGCAGTGCTTCGCAGAATCTACCACCTGATCATACTATCTTAAACCATCGAAATATTATTGTAAAAATGCAATGAATTTACTAAAAATAATTTAAAACTAATTTAATTGTTTTATTATCACTGTAGAGTCAATGGCTACGTCGTCCGTGGTCACAAAGTATTCGAAACAGCGGAAATAATATAATATACTGGTTAATACGAATTAATTATGTCTACGGCTCACGAATATTCAAGAAAAAAAACTGAAAGTTATTAGGACTAGTCAATAAATAGTCGTAATGAGGTTTTTTTTTTTACCTACCTAAGCTGGTAGCCTAGAGAGGCTATTCCAGCGTAACCGTAACTAGTAGGTGAGCTCGCGGGGCTCAAACCTGACGACGATGCTAACACGAACCCTAGCAAGAGTCGTGCTTCGCAGAATCTACCACCGGATCGGAAACGCGACCCACTGAGAAGATCCGGCGAGAAACTCAGTGGGCTATGTCTGAGAGTTAATTTACTCGAGCCCTTCGTCGCAAGCGACGGGTTCGACGAGAACGATGACCGGTACTTGAAGTACCTAGAAGCACCATCAGTGGATCGGGAGGATCCGAGATGACGTGTTTAGGGCGACGTCGACTGCTTTCCATTCTTTCCGCAGGATCGGGAATGTAGTTACCGGCGGCCACGATGAGAGGGTTCTCGTGTCGTGCCGCTTTATCGAAGTGGCGCATCGACGCCGACTGTACATATTTACTGATGGACTCTAAGTCCAGGTCGTCATGGAGGTCGACGTTCCTGACGAACCACGGGGCTCCGACGGGAAACACGGGAAAACTCCTGCAAAAACGCGATTGAATGATTTGGAATGATTTTAAGTGAGTGCGGGCCGCGTGAGCGAACACTACACTTGCATAGTGTAATGAGGTACAGAAAGTGATTGCTACAAAAAGTTTAATGGATTCTTTAAATAGTCAAGGATTTCTTCATTCTAATTCTGAACGTTTTACTAACATTAATCTTAAGTGAAACATAATTTTCAATTAACTTCTTGCCATAAGAAAAACAATGTGATCACTGGATTGTATCGCGACAGAACTAAACTTCGTTCATTATTGTATACGGAATAGGTACAGACGTACGTACAGACACGTCGAATAAAATACCTAAATGAATAAATAAAGCAAATGTGGTTTTTCATTAATGTGTACAAAACATATTAATAATTTTAATTTCATAGTACAATTTAATTGCGTTTAAAATAATTTAATGATTTTTTTAGTAAATTTATTCGTTAATTTAAAATGAAGTTCTTCGATGTTTTCCTCAAACAATTCAGATTGCAATGGAGGCAGTATTTAGTGGCTTCTTTGGGTAAGAGTTTAATATCCAATTAAACATACGTCCAAATTTAAATAATTAAAATTTCGAAGTTCACTTAATGATTTTATTACCTTAGTATTATTGCGCGTTCATATAAGCTGTCCTAACAAAGAAAAATAACAAAATCAGTTCGATACCTTACGTTGCATTGATATGATCAAACCCATAACATAAAAATCAACACAACATAATCATAACATAACATAAAGATCATAACATAAAAATCTGTGCTCGGTAGCTAAATTAACCTTAACCCTAATTTTTTTTTTTGTTAAGAGATTATCAATGTGGATAAAATCTGTATTTTTGATTTAATTATACTATGTATATCTATTTTTGCTGTGTCTTTTGATGGAGCATACTCGGGCAATCTTGTAAAATTGGACACCTGTGTGCTTAGCACAAGCTTAGAGGTCAGTCAAGGCATAGCAGGAATAGCCCCCTAGGCTACCACCGTTGAAAAAAAAATCTGAACAACAACATTCAGACCGTTGGTCAATTGAGAAATTACACCGGCTCGGTCAGGGCCGAAATTTGGGGAGGATAATCGGGGCGAAAGCCCCGGGCCCTCCACAAACGGAGGGCACCCACAATAGAGACTTTGGAAAAATATCTTTCAAATTCCGACAATTAAACACTAGTAAACATCTTTTCCTTCTCTTTCTATATTCTTTTAAATACTAAGAGAATCTACGCGGTTTCACAATAAACTGTTTATTGGAAAACTCGACTGAAAGAAATTTTATTTGGAAAATAATTTGGGGCCAGTGAGGGAGTGCCTTGAGGCCTCCAGACCTCTAAATCCGGCCCTGTGCTCGGTAGAAGATCTTCCATTTGTCATTAACCCCCAAAAGACCCAACATGTTACTAATACTACTAAGTATCTAACTTTGGCTCTCCAGCGAGCTACGGCAGCCTCTGTACCGGCATGTCGATGGGATGGACATCACCGGTGTTGCCACAGTTGCGAGGACCCAACTCCCCGCTACCAGAACAGCCTACGTTACAACAAGAATCCTGGATCGGCTCTCTGCTCGTTCTCGGCGGATTGATCGGTGATAAATTAGTGTTTATAATCTTTTTTTTTTATTGCTTAGATGGGTGGACGAGCTCACAGCCCACCTGGTGTTAAGTAGTTACTGGAGCCCATAGACATCTTAGATGTAAATGCGCCACCCACCTTGAGATATAAGTTCTAAGGTCTCAAGTATAGTTACAACGACTGCCCCACCCTTCAAAACGAAACGCATTACTGCTTCACGGCAGAAATCGCTTATTAGTAAGCGAAAATCAGTTAAGTTTACCCGAGACTATCGCAAGAATGCACCATTTTCTTCTGAAACTTCTGGCGTTTTTTATATGTAGGTCGCCATTTTCTTCTGAAACTTCTGGCGTCTCATTTCCCCGCGCTTTTAGATATAGGTTAAGTATCTTAATGAGATTGAGATATATTTATCTATAAACTAATCTACAGTTTCTGAGCTCTCAAATACGACTTACTGTTTATACCTTAAAAACTCAATACCAATGACGTGTGAGTACACGAAGAAACAAATGCAAAGTCATAGGTTAGGTTTTTTAAATGTATTGAGTAAATTATGTACTTGGAATTTACTGTGACATTTAAACCTGATCTAACAGAAGGTGATAAATTTTATATTGCGTGAAATCGTGCAGCAATATCAGTCGATCAGTCGGTCTACGCTAGAATATGCAGATTATGTAAAATAAACAGGAAGGACATCGTATATAAACAAACAGTTGAAGGCTCTAAGATTTATATCAGTTCAGAATAATACAATACACGTAGTTTAAATCGTATATGTTATTAGAAATGTTTTTACTATTTGCTCCATAAAATACACAATGATTTACGAATTATACAGATATTCTGTTTATGGTGACAAAAAAAAACAATGTGTTATTACTTGATATTTTAAAAACGTAGAATGTTTTTTTTAAGTCCGAAAACTTGCGAGCTACGTCTGTGTTTCATGTAATTACCTACATAATTCGTATTCGCACTTTTATTCAATAAATGCGTAAGTATCCTAAGCTAGCATTCACTGCGTGTCCTAAAGAAAGAAAAAAGCCCTGCATAAAGTTCATACAAACATTTACGTACGTAAAAAAAAAAGAAATGTGTGCAATACACAAGCGCTTGAGAGTCTTGAGACCGAGAGCGGGTAAGACCTTCAGAAGCTTTCTATCTCATTCTTCCGCAACCTTATCTGTTTTTAGTGTCGCCTTTTCGTTTCATCAAATACCAATCAATTCGAGTGTTTGTCTGTGCGCCTGTACAACAAAATCCCACAAGATACTTAGAACCTACAGAATATACATAGGTTTACGAAAACATTTTAAAAATGAATATTAAAAAAAAACTAATGTTAATTTTTTTTTTATCTAATATTTAAAAAAAAAGACATCGCTGCTGAGTTTCTTGCCAGTACTTCTCAGGACGGAAGTTAGTTTTTTGTGAATTGGCGGTAGTTCTTTTTGACGTTCAACAAGTATGTACTTTCATTTATGTTGAATAAAAAAATTTATGATTTGATTTAAATAATAGCAGTCCTAAAGACGTTTTCACATCGAAGCCCTACCTTCGAATTGCAGGCCCATTCATCACAGTGCCATTGTCAAAGCACGTTGGCCGAAGATGGCTGATTATGGGATCGAACGTGCCCCTCCTATTGGGGTGGTTGCTCGCCGGAGTCACAACTAACTTGCCAACGTTGTACGTCGCGAGGTTGGCCTGGGGCTGTGCTACTGCCATGCAATTTGCGACAGTACCTATTTACATAGGAGAAATTGCCGAGGTGAGTAGAGAGGTAGACCCGTGTGGACTTAATATAAGTTCTATCACCATAGGAGAAATTGCCGAGGTGAGTAGAGAGATAGACCCGCGTGGACTTACTATAAGTTCTACCACCAGTAAACTCTGGTGGGCAATAGCGGTTCATTGACCCAAAACTCAGTGACTATTACCCCTTTTCCAGCGAACATCTTGGTTGTTTCATGAAACCAAAAGATATATTTGGAGCAAAGGCTTTGACTAAAAAATCATGTTTACAAGAATAAAGATAGTCTACTCGTGAGAACTAGTGAAGATATTTCACGTTCACGAAAAAGCAACGAAAAAAAATGTGCAGCGGATATTTGTATATGAAGCAATGTTATTTATCAGTCAGTAACTGCCAAGGCCGCCTATTAATCAAATCTTGAATGATAGGTAGCGAGCTGTTTGCGAGGGCGTTTAACAAAAAGCTCTGCGTTTTCCAGGACAAAATCCGGGGAGCTCTGAGCGCGTTTTTCTTGTTGTTCATCAATATCGGCTTTTTGTTGGCCTACGCCATCGGTCCTTTCACCAGCTATTGGGGCCTCACAGCCTGTGGTGGAATTATATCCCTGTTATATCTACCGTTCTCTTGGTATTTACCAGAAACACCGTTCTTTTTGGTGTTCAAAGGTTAGTCACTGTTTTAGAAATAAATATTGTTTAATTTTATTAATTTAGTCACAGCTATTGACGTATTTAGTTTTTGTGTGTGTGCTTTCTAATTAAAATCTTTTTTTATTGCTTAGGTGGATGGACGATCCCACGGCTCACCTGTTAAGTGGTTACCGGAGCCCATAGACATCTACAACGTAAATGCCACCACCTACCACGAGATATGAGTTCTGAGGTCTCAGTTTTTACAGTACAACGTCTGCTTCATCCTTCAAACTGAAACGCATTACTGCTTCCCGGTAAAAATAGGCAGAGCGGTGGTACCTACCCGTGCGGTCTTAAAAGACGTCCTACCATCAGTAAAACTTTTGGTTTTATCCGAATTCTCAAGATTATAATGGCAACGGTGCATTCATTTTCTTTCTTAAAAATAAAGATCCTCGTACACGCTTATCTCTCCAGGTCGTCTTGAAGAGGCATCCTCAGTGCTGCAACAGCTTCGAGGAAAGACCAAAGATGAAGTGCAACCTGAATTGGATAGCTTACAGGCGATGATAGCCAGAGAATACGAGGAGGAACCCAAAATTAGCGACTTGTGGGCCAGCAGAGGAAGCGTTAAAGCATTGGGTAAGATTTCGCGATGCGTATTTGGAGATAAACGACAAATGGAAAATCTTCCATCGATGATATTACTCGGTAGCCCGACGGTCCGAATGTTATTGTTCGGATCTTATATAAATGCAAACTTATCTTGAAAATGTCGTCAAATATATATTGTGTTCTATGAGCCTTAATGTTGTTACGCGCTGAGGTTCGGAATAAATAAAACTTCCACCGAAGTACAAATAAAACTCTATTTAACACTTACAGAACGACTTTACGATTCGTAATTCACTTCTTCCGCTTCGCTTCAGACGATCCGTTCGCTGTTTCACTTTGAGTAGATCCGATTACTAACTGCCTTCGTGTAATATCTACAACGCTTTTATAGTCGATACGATATCCCAAGAATTATCGAGAACATTCCTGATGTTTCCGCTATTTGACAATAGATGGCGTCGTACTACTCAAGCGTTCCCGGTTTAACTAGTTCTTTCATTTCTGCTCTTCGACGATAGATGGCGTTACTCGTATCGGTGTACTTAAAATGTCTCCCTCGTTTTCAATATTGTCTCATTACATCTTTGTAATTAGATATGTCTGATTTAGGTATATGCGTGTTCCTGGCGATGTTGCTACAGTTATCCGGGATCGACGTGCTGTTATTCTACATGGAGGAGCTGCTGGCGAAGGTCGGCACTAAGATCTCTCCGTCTGACGGAACTATCATCATGGGAGTCGTTCAGGTGTGTAAGTAATCGCTAATTAGCTTGTAGGAAGATAGATATCTAGAGTCGGCATTATTGCTCCACTTTGAGAAAGAAGCACGACATGAGAATCCTCGTGGCCGCTGGAAACTATATACCCGATCCTGTAGACCGAATGGTAAATAATCGACGTCGCCCAAAACACGTCATTACGGCTCCTCCCGATCCATTAACGGTGCTTTTAGGTACCTCAAACACCGGTCACCGTCCTCGTCGAATCCGTCGCTTGCAACGAAGGGCTCGACGAGCGAATTAACTCATAGACACAGCTCACTGAGTTTCTCGCCGGATCTTCTCAGTGGGTCGCGTTTCCGATCCGGTGGTAGATTCTGCGAAACACTGCTCTTGCTAGGGTCATCACTCCGGTTTGAGCTCCGTGAGCTCATCTACTAGTTAAGGTTACGCTCAAATAGCCTCTCATGGCTTATCAGTTTAGGTAGGAAAAAAAAAATTATTGTAGGAAGTGACAATTGAAATCGTTTTGTCAACACCCTGTATATTTATGTGGTTATGAAGAATATATTGGACTCGTTAGGTGGCGACGAGCTGTGTGACTCCGATGGTCGTGGATCGGCTGGGTCGGAAACTTCTCATGTGGACTACTTCGCTTGGACTTACTGTATTCCTGGTAAGGACTTGAAGTGACTGTCTGAAGGATTGCTATATGATTTGTAATTCTATAGGAGTTAACTTTCTAGCCGGACGTTGCATGACTTCAGTGGAATATATCATAGAGTGTAGATAGAGAATGAGAATAATGTGTTTCGAAATAACGATCCGAATATGAGACATATTTAGTACCTACTTAGTAATAACGCTTAACTAACTTACTAATGTAACTGACTTTAGACCAATAAAGCTTTATTTCATTTAAATTATCGAACGAATGACTCTAAATCGATAATCGTATATCGAAAAGAAAATAACGAAGAAGTATTTATTCGAATTTCATTTTATTATCTAACAAATTACTCCGAATCGATAATCCGATATCGGAAAGAAAATAACAAAGAAGTATTTATCGGATGTCGAAAAAAAAAAGAAATACCGAAGAATTATTTTTGGTTTCTTTTTTATTTTCAGACCTTAATCGGCGTTTACGCCCTTCTGGACAATTATTATAAATATGACGTCACATCCGTGACCTTCCTTCCGCTGCTGTGTCTAATTGTTTATATGATATTGTTCACTTTAGGTAAGTAAACAATTGATGATTAATACTCTGGCTCGTTAAAACGTTACAAAAAATTATATTATGTAAGGGCCCACTGGGAAAAAGAAAGAAGTGAAGACCATATGATACTTAGTAGGAGTGGGTGATATAAATCGTATCTAGATTCAATATCTATATATCGCAGCAATATCGTTGAATCCGATATCGCCCCGCACGAAATCTATATATCGATATCAGCCGATACACGATATTGCTCGATGTGATGCGCATCGGCATATCGTACCGATTCGTGAATCGAAATCTATATAACGATATCAGCCGATACACGATATTGCTCGATGTGATGCGCATCGGCATATCGTACCGATTCGTTAATATCAGCAATATTCGTTTGGTTCGTATCGAATCGGCCAGAGTGAGTGAGCGCACGATAGGGATATCATGTGATGAATGAAACAGAAACAGGCATTATCCATACAATTGTAAACCTTATATTTAAGTCCATATGTCTGTAGATTATTCTTAGCGTATCAGCAGGATACAATTAAGGAAAGAAGTTTCAACTTTCGACCCTAACTTGAATGCAGTATAGCCTATTTGCATCGTTGAATTTAATTTCACGCGCTTTGACCTTGAACTAGAATTTTTGGACAAGTGTTTATAAATACTTAAAAGTTTTTTGTGTTTGATTTTTAAATTACACATTTTTCTATTTTTAGTTGAATCCAAATAATTGAGTTTATTTCTTGTGTTTGTATTAAACTTTTGAAATCTACACTCTTTTGGTATATTTTGTAATTTTAAATTAAGACACAAAATACTAAAAACTGAAAATAATGTAGCCAGTCCTAAGCCTGATAAAAGCATGAAGGAAAGTTTTTTTGATATTTTTATTTTCATGTTCTTTTTATTACTTTAAAATCATATTATAAATTGATATCAGAAAACCAACCGTATAACGTTGACTTAAATCTATATCTACTACGATATTATATCAGCGTATCGTTTCAAATCTCAAATATCATGAATCGAGATAATCTACCTACTAGCATCCATCAATATATAGATTCAGAAAATATATAGATTCAATATCCGATATTGATACTCGATATATAGATACGATTCGATACGCGGCAAAACCGATATTACCCACTCCTAATACTTAGATGGGAAGAAGATATAAAGGAAGCAGTGACTACAAATTGGGTTAAAATTTGCCCAATCTAGAGAAGATTGGCTATCTTTACCCCAGAAGGGGTTCTTGCAAGTGGAAATACTATCTAATATTATACAACAAACACAATTGTTAGTTAATTAATCCCATAGATCACAGTGATTTAATTTTGTTTTTATAAGACACTTTTTTATTGACAAAGGCTTTTTATTTTTTTATCGGCTCGTAATGCTACGCACCGATAAATCGACAGATCGATTAGTTGTGTACGGATCAGTGACACGAGCAACTCACAGTCGCGAGCTAAGTACGTAGGTACTTTAGTAAAATATAAGAAAAAGACGTTGTTAATAAATGTATGATATATTTTTTTAACGCTCAACAATCTCGCTTCTTCATGAATTAACTCTGAAAACGTGAACTTGTCACACACACCAACGTAAAGTACCTATCTGTTTGCTTAGTGCGACTTTTTTAACGTTCTGGATAGCGTAAAAGTTAACTCAAATTTGTATGCAGTTGGAACAGCGCCCCTAACGGCAAACATAGGAAAACGTTCCAACTCCATACAAATTTGCGTTAACTTTTACGCTATCGAGAACGTTAAAAAACTTGCACTAAGCACAATGAACATTAATTCTGACTCATGTTCAGGAGCACAACTATACCGAGATCTTAGAACTTATATCTCAAGGTGGGTGGCGCATTTACGTTGTAGATGTCTATGGGCCCCAGTAACCACTTACCTAACACCAGATGGGCTGTGAGCTCGTCCGCCCATATAAGCAATAAAATAAAATAAAATAACTTAACACACAACTTAAACGTTGCTTGTTAATTTATATTGAGTTTTTTTTTCCTACGTTGATGGTCTAGGGGACCATAGCAGCTTCAGCGAGCTAGTAGTAGGTGAGCTCACGGGGCTCAAACCTGACGACGTTGCAAACACGAACCCTAGCAAGAGCCGTGCTTCGCAGAATCTACCATCGAATCGGAAACGCAACCCACTGAGAAGATCCGGCGAGAAACTCAATGTGCTGTGTTTGTGGGTTAATTTACTCACCGAGCCCTTCGTCGCAAGCGACGGATTCGACGAGAACGATGACCGGTGCTTGGCGTACCTAAAAGTACGTTAGTAGATCCGGAGGATCCGAGATAACGTGTTTTGGCCGACGTCGACTGTTTACCATTCGGTCCGCAGGATCAGCAATGTAGTCATCGGCAGCCACGATGAGAGGGTTCTCGTGTCGTGCCGCTTTATCGGAATGGTTATATTGAGTAATCAGAACGAAGTGTAGGAGTTATTCCTTCAATGCTTCTCTTCTATATCGTTTACGCACTAATGAGGATCGCGACCACATGTGACGCTCTTCCACTGTGTTCGATCATGGGTGGCATGGACCACATGGTACAGACTACCACCAAATACTTCTCTTGCCAGATCTGACCATCTGGCTGGTGTCCTTCAATGCAATTCTACTAAAACATAACCCAAGTGTGCATCTAAGAATATGTTTTAGGCGTTGGTCCGGTGCCGTGGATCTTAGTGGCCGAAATGTTCCCATTGAAAACTAAGTGCCTCGCCAGCGGGATATGCTCGTTCATGTGCTGGCTCGCTGGATTCATATGGACTAGGTTCGTTGTACTACTACTAATAATAATACTAATAATTATTATACTAATTATTAATTACTAATACTACCCCCCTCGACTGGGTATGCGTAAATGGATTCCACAGCGTTAAAAAAAAGGTTCGTTGTACAGTGTGCTTAGTGCGAGTGTTTTAACGCTCTCTATAGCGTAAAAGTTTACTCAATTTTGTATGGAGTTGTAACGCTTGCCTACGTTTGCCGCCAAACCGAAACCCATTACTGCTTCACGGCAGGATGGTGGTATCTACTCGTGCGGGCTTAAAACACTCCCTACCACCAGTACTGAAACAATTAATGGCCGTCTGGTGTAGTGGTAAGTGACATGGTCACTACACAAGGGGGTCGCAGGTTCGAATCCCGCCAAGGGAAAATATTTGTATCATAAATATAAAATGTCTTTTCCAGTGTTAAGGATGTATATTAAATATATTAATATGTATGTGTATAATAAAAATCTTACATTTATTTCCGTTATCTGGTACCTGTAACACAAGTTCTTAACGAACTTACCACGGGACCAGTTAAAAAAAAAAGTTAAACCAGCGAAACTATTTGACAGATTTTTCCGCGACGTGGCCGCCTCCTACGGCATCTACACCGCTTTCTGGATCCTATCTGTGTGCTGTGGGATCGGGTTTATATTCTCTGTCGCCCTACTGCCGGAGACGAAAGGGAAAACGTTCGATGAGATACAGGATTTGCTCAATAATAGGTATTGTTCGTTATGGAAACTGAACAGTCGTGTATAAAATGTAACTAGACGAAAAGTGCCGTGAAAAACTAACCTCAAAATATCTTGGCAAAGCCTTTGAACTATTGAAAGGTTAGGATACGAATATTAGTTTCGGTAACGCAGTGACAATGAATAAATGACTTCGCGACACAAATACCTAGGCAGGACGTGTTCACAATACGCCATCGGTATAGTTATTGTGCATACCTACATTTTGCGGGTTTTATAGAGTCGTTAAAGAACACGATTTTTTTTTATTTATTGCTTAGATGGGTAAACGAGCTCACAGCCCACCTGGTATTAAGTGGTTACTGGAGCCCATAGACATCTACAAAAAATTTCACGTGTTCATTATAACTTATAAGTACTGAGACTTGACCTGTTTTAAAGTTGTTTTGTACGATATCGATAGGATTTAGCTTGCGACAGAATAATAAATATTACTTCTAAAGATCATTCGTTTCGTTTCTGCCGCGTGTAAATTGAACAAAAAGAATAAAAAGGATAGCTTACGACAGGAAACTCATATGGCATAATGAAAAATAAAATATTAATATTAAGAAACAGTCGCTTGGGCATGGCGATGCGTCGCCACACCGTACACACAAATACATATAGATTGTATATCTAGGTTTTTAAGTCCGAATTCAATTTTAAAGGATTATTCTTTTGAAATTAACAAAACAAAAAACAAAAAAACTAGAGGTCCCGCAGTAGTCGAAATTCGACTATAGTTAATTGGAATTACAAGTTTGTACACTATTATGATTGTATTTTATACTTCTATAATCACAAATTTCGCCAAGACTACACTATAAAAAATATTAACAAAGACAAACAATATTTAATCTATTTTCAATTTGACAACGATGTCAAGAACAAAAGTTTGACAGTAAATACCTATAGTATGCATGCGTGTGTGCGTCAAATACATGGTATGTAGTGTGTGTAATGTTTTCTTTATTGATTTAATGTATCTTTTATGCATTATTTTTAAAAAATATTAGCATTGTGCACTTCTTCTCTATATTCTCTATAAGTGTGGAAAATTTCATACTCCTCCGTCCGCGTAATTTTCGTAAAACGGGATACAAAGTTTTTGCTTCACCTATTAATATGTAGATAAGAAAACGCTATAAATACATGTCAACTAAATTTCTTCTAGTCATGTATTTTTTTAAGTTTATAAAATTGAATTTGAAGTTAACCTACTATTTAGCGTCGCCACGCCAGCAATCTGTTTTACGTGTACGACTATAAATGTTTCAGATCTATATTTTATTTACAGAACGAAACAAGATAATCCAGGTGCTTGAACACGACCAGGATGTATTCACCACCTGTTTGTAAATAATAAAATGTTTTTCATGAATTGTTTTGTTTTTTCAGATTTTACGTTTCTCCATAAAAATATATCTAGTATCAGACTTTGACCTCGTAGACTTACCAGTACTCTGCTATACTTTTTTGTCTCATACTATGTTTGGCCGTGATTGTAAAATCACCACATTTACTGAAAATTCCAATATGATACAAAAGCCGGCCATATCTAAGAATTTTATCACTGTATCGTTGGTATTGACACGCTCGTATTACATTAGACGGATGTACGAGCTTTTCAACCACTTAGCATAAAGAGCTCACCGGAGCTCTTAAGCATCAACGTGAATTTGTAACTATTATGTAACGAATGTTCCTATCATATAAGTCGGAATGCATGCTTTCCAGGACTCCAAACTACATTGAAAACAAAGCCCATCTTTAAACCTTGAAAACTGGGAAGAAAATAATCCTTGTTTGTTGCCCGCATCGCAATGAATAGGAAATCATAATTCTTCCTGATTAAAATAACATTTTAATTGATCTATTAGCTCACGGCATTACAGAGATTAGCGCTTTTTATGGTGAACGTAGTGCCATCTATTAATGAAGATCGGAACTAGTTTGGTTAAAATAAACTACCTATCGTCTCAAAACTCATTAACTGGAATAAAAAGTATCCATGTGTTAATTTAGGAAATGTGGCAATTACCATCCAATTACCATCGTGTTCAACGGTTTACTCATGATTGGGTAACAAGCATCCTCACAAAATTTCACATTTATTTTTGTAGGATTAACAATGCTTTTTTTAATTGAAGTCCAAATAAAACACGGAATTCAGATATAAAAATTTTTATTATAGGAAATATTTTGGATTCAACAACAACTCTTTTTGGGCTCTCCCGACAGCTGTTCCATTCTGCACGAAGCATGGCACGTACGTAACAAACTGAACGATACAAAAATAATGTGACCAACATTTCATAGTCAAATTCTTACAAGCATCTGAAGAATATTTCTACGCTATCATCTCCCATATCTTAGCAAGGAGAACACGAAAAAGCAACATATACAGCTTTTTATGTCCATATGCGACCGTCAACAAAATAAGTAGCAATTTTTAGATTTCAATTTAACAAAATTGACAAACCTTTACACTCCCATATTTATATATTTTTTATAATACTACTACTCAATTTATAATACTTTATAAACCAATAGACTTATTATTAATTTTTATGCTGACGGTACACGCATTAAAAACACGATTCATCTCGATACCGTGCAGCACGAAACAGCGTGTCGTTATACAGCCTACATACAGCACGTGTTTTCGTTGTCAACAATCGCCCGAGGTACTTCACACTTAGCACATACAAGTCGTAACCGACCCCACAACAACTCCTTACCGCGACTATCACATTTAACAAGCAACGCTCCGTTGATCCCCCGATGCAGGAAAGAAAAAAAAAAACACTTGATTTCTCTGTCTGCGTTCTCTCACAGTTATTCCTTTGCCTAACTATAAACTAGACTTAACATTAAAATTCTCACTCTAATTTTCTCTCACACATTCCGTTCACGCTCGCACGTTTACATTATACAGAGCTCACGATATTATTATTAACTTTTTTTTACAATGATATCCATCGAGGGGTCACTCAATTCCGTTTTCTTATTCATTTTTGTTGCTTCACAAGCATTTTTATTACTATTCTTAGTTCGTTCGTAAACGCTGAACGTAGCGCAAAAGCTCGAATTTAATGTTTACGCTAAATTGACTCTTTCAAGCATGTTAAGACCGTAATGTCCAAAAAACTAATGATCGTGAATTTAAAACAACGGTCACACACAAGACATTAGCTGCGATAAGAATACGTATGTATATATGTAATATAGTCTGTAACTAATCAGTAATAATTTCATTAAAAAATTACAAAGGAATTGAGCCGGCCCCTTTACATGAGAACAAAAAGAAAAACTTAACACGTAACCTATTATACAGAATCGATCGTTAACAAAATGAAACATTAAGACTAATAATAACCAAGACAGAAAAAAAAAAAAAAAAACTTGGAAGTGCCCGATTACATGTTGTAAGTTTTTTTTTTAAAAAGCACACGCGTCCGTTGCGATGACCTACCATAAGAATTTCGCAAAGATACTTTGTAATATCGAAAATGACTTAACTTCAATGATAAACAGCTGGTTTAATTTAAAATCCACAAAACGACAACGATCCCTTGTTAGAAATACACCAACATAATCATATTTGTATTAATTAGGTGGGAAAAGTTTTGTAATCAACAAAAACAATAATCTTTACAATCTTCTACCGTGGTAAAGAAAACTTACAGTTATTCGGTCCTATTTTTTTTTAAGTTTTATAGTGTATTTCTAAGGCATGAAACGCGAAAATAAAAGAATAAAAAAGCACATTTGACATTACAAACCGCGTTAATCGTTGCCGGAAAATAAAACTGACAAAAAATATATTTTTTTAAATCTGTATCAGTTAAGGATCGTCCGCAAGTAGATCACTGCGGATTTTTGGAGCAAAACATTCGGTTGACCCTAAACTACTTATATTGTGACAAAATATTTATTATTTATTTATTTATATACTCAATTTGTTCAGGCCTCCGTTACTATACTATAATATATTTACATTTATTTATAACATTACTGTTTCATTACAAAGCTTCCTTAAATAGATAGGTACAGATAATCAAATAAAAAAAAAAGAACTAAAATCACATTAATTATTCACATACAGTACGTTGTTTATGCCCAATCTATCCCGTTGCGAACTTGATTGGTTTGAACATGTGGCAAGAAAAAAATGGCTTGAAACTATTATTCAGAAAGCGGAAGACTAAATGGAACACAATTACATTTTTTTTAAACTTTTTTTTCATTTCCCTATTAAGTACAAAGTGGCAAAAGGGTTCGTTGCCGACGTAAAGATCTAGTCTATGTAATGATCAAAATGCCAATTAATACAACTTGTGAACTCGCTGTTGTAATGAAATACATATATTAATATATAGTTAGTATATTCAGTCAATATTCTAGGGAAAAAACAAAATTTGAAATTTCATACCTAAAGTGCATCCATAAAGTTCTCTCTTCTTATTCTGAGGCCCATATAGGCTATGGTTAGAACTCAAGAGCAATTCTTGGAAACCATTTCTTCAAAATTTATTTTTATATAAGCGTTTGCAGTATTTTGCAGGGATTGAGACAGGATGCTGTGCCGTTTACGCAAAAAACTTCGACATAAATTTTGCCTGGACGATGTGAATATTGACGTCACTGTTCAGTATAATGAAATTAAAAACGCTTATACCTTTTTAATTTTTATATTATTTTTAATGAAACCATAATAATTAACAGCAAACACGTGAATTGGGTGGTCGTAATATTGTATACCATGGAGATGGATGGTTTTTGTCATCTAGGCGTTCACACTTAATGCAATTGAGTTCCCTTGTTGGCGTTTACATGAATTTTTCAAATTTAATTACCCTCAATTTACTACAGATGGCGCTCCACAAAGATTAAGCCATAATTTAGCTCAAGCTGAATCATTAACAGGTTCGTTATAAAACAAACTTAAACAATTGTGATCAGGTTTAGCACTGAATAAGGCATATTTAGGAAATAAACGAGCGAAGATCACGAGCAGAATTAATTTGGCAACAATTAATATCAGTAAACGTTCAATTTATTAAGAATAAAAGAAACAGCTGTAAATATATTACAAGTCAAAACGATATTACCATGATCAAACCCATCAAGACGAACTAAAACTCCCAAAATTTCATTGAAATCAATAAACAAGAATAAAAAAAAAATAAACAAACACAAATACTCAGTTTAAAAAAATATTTATCACGAATTTCTCTGCAATTCTGTGCCTCTAGTGAGAAAACAGCATCAAATCAAATATTTTGTCAACGTTGAGGAATTAAATACAAAAACGTTCATATAAATTGCTGGACAGCGATTAAATGTGTTTTAAAAAAACCCATTAAATTGGGTTTATTTATTTATTGTACACAAACAGTATTGCGACGGGTCCAACCCACCACCGGTCTCATTTTGTAATAGCAGTTTCCCTACTGCTGATCAAAGACTGGACGGTGGTTGGGGTCGTATACCACACCCCCCCAACCCCCCTCCACTAGAGGAACAGAAATAACAGTAAAACTAATAAACTTTTTTACGTTACACCCCCAAGGCACGACGAAACGCTAAACTATTGTTTTGAATATAATCACATCGAGGTTATTTGATTACGTACTTCTGGTATAAAAGTATTTCGCTCGTCTGCAAGACAATAATAACAACGTATTTTCTATAAACACGAGACTTGTTTAAGGCGACACAACATCGGATACCCGCGCGGTTTGTACATACGAATTGTGAACATTTCCAATTATAATACAGAGAGATGAAAGGCTATTTAATTTAAGCGTCATTTCACTGAATACGCGACATTTATCTTTATAATTAAACTAGCTGACCCGGCAGACTTCATAGTGCCTCAATCGATAAATAAAAGACCTAAACTTTTGTAATAAAATAAACTTAAAACAAACAAAAGGAATACGTTCCACAGGGGACACATCATAGGAAAAACAAAATTGTTATTTTTAATCAATTCCGAGCATTTTCATATTTATCTACCTTTTAAACCTTCTCTGATTTCCACAAATAATTCAAGACCAAAATTAAGCCAAATCGGTCCAGCCGTTCTCGAGTTTTAGCGAGACTAACGAACAGCAATTCATTTTTATATATATAGACAGATAGCCGATAGAGGATTTGTAATTAAAAAAATCCAAATTTTAAACTCTAAATGGGTCTCCTGTAATGCTGCAAATAATGTCGCTTAAACCAAACAGGCTTTCAACCGTCGATACGTTCTACTAAAGTATATAGAGATGAGACCATTATATTTCCTTGAACATAATTAATCTGAAAATTATAAGTACGTTGAGCCGAAGTCGGAAAGGCAGACAACGAAGCTACATGAATCGGTATTAAAACAATTCTGAATCATCACGACTCCGAGGTCAACATTTGAATGTGTTAAAGTTACAAAAACAATTTTCGCTTCATTTACTAGACCGTGATCGGATTAAAGTTTTTTTTTTTACATATTTCATTGAGACTACGCGACATTAACAATCAACATGATTACGCTGGAATTCATTTCATTTTCTACACATTTTTTATTATTATAAACTATACATTTTTATATCTAACTTGTATTTAATACTCTCGCTTTATTACAATGGACAATTTTGTGTGATCTTCCTGTACGGTTCGTTAAAAACAAGTGTTGCTAATACATACATACATACTCAATCATTTTGAGACATTTGTAATTTGTGAAGAAACAATACATTTTTTTTATTATTATTGCTTAGATAGGTGGCCGAGCTCACAGCCCACCTGGTGTTAAGTGGTTACTGGAGCCCATAGACATGTACAACGTAAATGCGCCACCCACCTTGAGATATAAGTTCTAAGGTCTCAAGTATAGTTACAACGGCTGCCCCACCCTTCAAACCGAAACGCATTACTGCTTCACGGCAGAAATAGGCAGGGCGGTGGTACCTACCCGCGCGGACTCACAAGAGGTCCTACCACCAGTAAAATTCAAGTGAATTTCAACATTTATGTGATGTATAAAGAGTAAGATACCTGCATCTCAACAAACATAATGTTATCGACTTATTCCACATCATATTAAAACAATTTGTATTCCAAACTATTAAGGTACATTATTCTTTGCACACTAGAAATGTTTTTAGTGTTTCACACATTACAAATGTCTGCCTGTATTTTTAGTTGTAATATCGACACCATTTGATATATTCCTAACTAATCTCATATAAATAAGGTCAACGTGTCACCTTATATTGTATGTTTCTCATAATAAATACTTAATTATTCGCTTAGAACCTTATGTATGAAGTATGAAAAGCGTATAAATTATATCAGAAGTTTTTTTTTTTATTGACTTACTTCCTACATTGTATCGATATATTGTGTGCACGCGATACTGCAATACATCCGATGATTATATAGTTAGATATTGCATTAATATATATTTAAAGCACATTATTGCTTATTTGTACCATATTACTCTTTTAATACTAATTGACAGGGAAAACATTTCAAGGCTATACTAATTTTTTTAAACTGAAAAGTCATCCTGATCATTAGACTTTCAATCTGGTATTAAGTTTGTTCACAATTTTCTATTTAAATAACTTTACTTAACAAAAGAATGTCAACATTCTTATCTTCAATTGTTAATGTTTTGCAATCACGGAAAAAAGAATAAATACAATCGTGTAGTTTTTGTAAATATCAATAAGCACACACAATATATCTACACTGCAACAGTTATGGTGGCTGCCGATAAAAACGTTGTGAGGTAAACATTCAAATCACAATTGTATTTTATGAAAACAATAGACTAGGACTAGCATTACGTTACAAGTTATACAATTAATTCTAGCAAATTCAATTACTTAGATAGCTTTACCGAATCAGGTTTAAAAGAAACATTGGACTTTGAATGATTCAATACATTTCAACAAAATTAAACACAACGGCACAACACTTTCATTGTGATTACCGACAATTCACAGTTCATGGTTTATTCTTCAAATGTCAAATGTAAACGTATTTTTAAAAAAGCTTATATTTTGAAAGGTTCTCATAAATAGACATTTGCAATTAATTATAAAGTTTCATCGACAACCACCATAATTATTTTATAACTCGACATTAATGACACTGGCCTCTGTAACTAAGGCATTGCGTTTATACAATACAAGTGTTCACAGTAATGTATATAAGTAATAACAGCGGGCGGAATGGACGTCACAGTGGAAACAGCGTTGTTGAAAATGACAAAGCTTAAATCATTTTCGAGATTTAAAAACCGATTCGCAGTTTACACTATTCCTCGTTAAAATACTTATCACATACCAGAAGCTAAATTAAGCGCTTAGCTTGAAACGATATTTGTATACATTGTTAAATCCGTTTTCGAATAGCATGGATTCCTGGTACACTATTGTAACAATGCTTTTCTAAAATTTAAACGTACATTGGCATCAGGCGTTTTCACTAATAATTATCCCGGAGTGGACTAGAATAGGCCCAAAGGTGGATATTGTCACATGTGCAATGCTATTCAAGGCCAGTGTAGACTTACAGGGCATCCGCAGGGCTTGAGCTAAGCGTTTAAAGGGCTGCTAGAACTTGTCTTGGAATATGAACAAGTTGTTGGTGGCCGCCACCGCGATGATGCTCTCGTGTGGATGCCACGCAGTGTGAAGTATTTTCTTAGTGAAGTCTAGACAGTCTACACTTATTTCGTCCTGTGAGAGAGATTTAAAAAAGTATTTAATATTGTTTAAAATATAATTTTTTTATTTTATTTTTATTTAATATATTTTGTATACACAGCTATTAGAAGAAACACGACAATAAGGGCACTACTTATTTCATGTTGAAATCTCTTCCAGTGGGCCCGCAGAAGGAAAGAAGAATTAGGAACACAAACCTAGTGCATACAGTAAACATTACAAATAAACATTATAATTACTGTACATGTTTGAATTGGATAAAAAACAAATTACTTTTACGCTACTGGGTAATTTGTAATTATAATTTTATTTAGTCGGTGTACAGGGCACGCGCGCATTCACATCAGCACTTTTACATCGCTTTAATCAAACCGTAGTTATAAAGCGCCAGTACACGCTCGGCACTCATATACAGCGGTACACACCACATCAACATACATAGATAGAATTAGTTACTTGTTAGCGAAGTATATAATAAACGTATATGATATAATAACTATCGGTGATTTCTTCCTATCTAAATCTCACATTCAGCAGCGCATACAGTCGGGACTAATGAATAACACAGGTCAACACCAAGTTTGACTTTGATTGCAAAGCATAAAATTTCGATATTTTAGATCGGAATTAGACGAAAAAAAAAATACATGGCATGAAACAGTTTGCTTCGTGACATTTTAAGTTTTTCTGGGCTTGTAAAAAACACCTGATCGTTGTTTATGACTCGAGTGACATCTAGTGGCAATGTGTAAACGTAAACACCCCACTCTCTTAGCGCGTTTTTTTTAAAAGTATTAAAATTAAATAAAATTTAAAAAAAATTGAAAAATGAGTATTATTACTATAAATATCACAAAAGCAAACTTTATACCAAAAAAGGTATTTTATTTTCGTTTTTGTGAATAATTAACCGGAAAAACTTAGTATAAACGTTAGGACAAAGAACGAAAAAATGTTTGTAGAGTTGTGATTGAAAGTCAAATCAAAGAAAGACTAAACTGAAATCTAGTATAGAAACAACAGACAAATAATGCGCTACAAAGAGCGAGTGAGAGAGAGTGAGTGCGCGTACCTTCTTCCTCTTGGCGGAGGCGGCGACGCGCCTCGCCCGCAGCGGCTGGCGCGGCCTCTGCGCGGCGTCGCGGCACGCCTCCAGCGTCAGCTCGCCGCGCCGGCCCGCGCCGCACCCGCGCTCGAATATCCTGCTCCGACACAGATTCGTCACACACTCAATCAAATAAAACTGGGTTCGCGTGCCCAATAATTAATCCAATAGTAGGTGATCATTGCAATTCACAATAAATCCCCCTTCCCATTGATGTCAATGACCTTATACTAAAGAATGCTGGTAAGAGTAACGCCAGCTATCGCCGAATAGCCGAACGAATATCGGTAGGATCTAGTAGCATCTAGAACGCTCGAGAAGTACAACGCCATGTATTGTCAGATATAGGAAACACACGTCGAAGGTACTCGACTTGTGAGGAATGTTCTCGACGATTCTAGGGATGTCGTATCATCTATAAAAGCGTTGCAGAGATCGCACGCAGTCAGTTATTATTCGGAACTACTCAAAGCGAAACAGCGAACGGATCACCAGAAGCGGAATAAGTGAATTAATTCTTAAGTGTTCTGTTAGTGTTCTAAGTGCTAATTTAGTTGTAATTTGTATTTCGGTAGAATTTTTATTCACCCCGAACCCTAGCGCGCAACAGTATGAAGATTTCAAATTCAATACACATATTCAGTCATAAAAGTTAGCAATGAATAACTACCACAATCTACATTTGTCTTTGGGAACAGTTCCCTTTTGATATAAGTAAGTAGTGTATTAATGAGTATATATACTTTTATGTCGGTCTGGTGTAGTGGTAAGTGACATGGTCACTACACAAGGGGGTCGCGGGTTCGAATCCCGCCAAGGGAAGGTATTTGTATGATAAACATAAATGTCTTTTCCAGGGTTATGGATGTATCTTAAATGTATGTATGTGTATAATAAAAATCTTACATTTATTTAAGTTATCTGGTACCTGTAACACAAGTTCTTTACGAACTTATCACGGGGCCAGTTAACGTGGTGTGATTGTTAGTAAATATTTATTATTATTATTATATAATAAATAATAACAAGTCAAGGTACCTAAAGAATCCATTGTAGGAGCCGGTCATCAGCCTCTGGTCTTCCCCACTCCAACAGCACTCGAACTTATCAAAGATACAATCGTTCTCGTATAACGAACATAACTTTGAACGTAGATACTCATGTACGGGATACGTTTCTACAGGTTTCGTTTCCATACGGAGATCCCATACTTTTAAACCTAAATAGTCTCGTGACATCATGTACCTAAAAAGTAATTACTCAATTGAAATAAAAATTTATTTACCACCAAAGAAATTCAAATACAAGATATGTTTAGCTACTTCTGATGAATTCGATACTAGCGAGTTTGCATTGGACCATGTTTTAATCAGTTAAATTATTTATGAATAATTTTTGCATATTACACAAAACCTTGTTTTCCACGATCAATAGATGATCTAAGACAATATTAGGTTAGAGATGTCCCACATGTCTCACTATGGTCACTAAATCGATTCCAGAATCTACCGTATCTTTAAGTCGGTGAGTGAGGCCACGCACACTCACACGTAATAAAGTTTTTTTTTAGGATTGAAGGATTACTGGTGGCCCGGGGGCCTTTCCAGTTTCACCAGGATAGGTAGGCAAGCAAAAGCTCAGCCAGGGTTTTTTTTGGATTGAAGGATTACTGGTGGAATGAAGATCTTTCCAGTTTCATCAGAACAGGTAGGCAAGCAAAGGCTCAGCCAGGATATTTTTTTTAGGATCGAAGGATTACTGGTGGCCCAGTGGTCTTTCCAGTTTCACCAGGCCGGGTGGACGTAATCAAGTACGGAAACACTCACCGTCCGGAATTGCTAAGTTTGACGTCACTAATGGAGGAGATGATCTCCGAGAAAAAGGAGCGTGCGTGCGGGTCCTCGGGCTCCTCGAAAAGCTTGGCGTGCCGATCGCACAGCGCCGCCGCGCGCATGTCGCACAGCCGGATGGTGCCTGCACGCGGGAGTTTAGCACTATTTAATCGGGAGCCAAATTATTCATTGAGATGGTCAATTTAGCGCACTTTTTAAATAGTTTTGAAATAGAAATCGTAAATAAATAAAATATTTTAAATGTGTATTCATGCTTTCCATTTAATTTTTTTAAAGACAGCATTTTGATAAGATTTGTCGAAACTATTGATAATGACAAGTTTCATAATTGATGGAGGTTTTTTACTTAAACATAGGCAGACTAAGAAAGGCTAAAAGGTCGAGTTGCCAATTAACATAAATAAATTATAATTTTTCCTTCATCAATATTGCACTCACCCTTACTACTAGAATATACAAAGAGATTGCATTCAGTCGGGTGGAACTCGGCAGCCGTTATTACCTGAAAAATCCCAAAAAATAATTTAACCAAAATTGTATAATATAAATTTCTATCAAACATCACCAAATCTTTCCATTAGTCTTTAATCAATGGGCATCGTTTATTTACCGACTTAAACATGTAAAAAAGGTAGTTTATTAATAGATAATATTGTGCAGTTGTCATTGATTTATTATAAATGGCCTAAAACCTAAAACCTCATCGCATAGTCTTTAAGCATAGACTTCACAGTACCGAGTGCGTAATTGGTACCGGTACACAAACGACACTAACCACTTACCATTCAGGGGTCGATATTCGCGTCTATTAATAGGATCCTCAAGTTTATTACCTCGGTGAGTTCCTCCATATTGGCGGGTTTGATGTCGACAATGTTAAAGCTCTGATCTGTGATCTCGAGGTGCCACAGGTTAATGCGCAGATCGTCCGCCGACAGGTACGTCTCTTGATCAGAATTTAAAGAGATCGAGTTTATGTGATACGTATGAGCGTTCGCGAATATCCGTCTGAAATTAATTTAATTGAATTAATCGAAAAATATGCAAATGTCAAAAATTTAATGATAACATCCTACAACCATTTTGGAATCATATTTATTTTAATGACTAATCTAAATCAGTTAAGGAGTTGTCCTCAAGAGAAAGGTTAGGATCTACCTAAACTACTAAACCTAGTAGTAGTAACCACTACTGGTGGTAGGACCTCTTGTGAGTTCGCACGGGTAGGTGCCACCACCCTACCTATTTCTGCCATGAAGCAGTAATGCGTTTCGGTTTGAAGGGTTGGGCAGCCGTTGTAACTATACTCAGACCCTTAGAACTTATATCTCAAGGTGGGTGGCGCATTTACTTTGTAGGTGTCTATGGGCTCCAGTAACCACTTAACACCAGCTGGGCTGTGAGCTCGTCTATCCGTCTAAGCAATTAAAAAAAAACCTTTTTTAAATGCATAAGACTTTATGGTTCTGCTGCAGAGAAAGGTATTGCGGTAGTTATAGATATTAACAAAACGAACCCTATCTTTTGTAATTAAATCAGCCAGACAATTGAACACTACTGGTTTAATTTAATTAGCAACGCTTATCGTCCCTGAACAAACTGTGGTGGCTAAGCCTGTGCAGATAGCGCGTTTTATTACTATGCTTTATTGACACTTCAGTTTTAATAAGGTTGCTTTTTATCTCACGATATATTATGAAAATTATTATTATTATTTAATGTTCCAGTACGTATACTGCTGTGTGTAATATGCTTATCTTTCTGGCTGTATTAATCATATTCACGTGAATGTGTTTGACGATTCAACACGTGGTTGATCGGTAGGTAGCTTCTCCGACGTATAAAAATAGAATAATCTTAATAGAAAAACGTATTTATATATTAATACGTGAAACAAAAACTTTGTAATCGTTTTTAAGAAAATTGCGCGGACGGAGGAGTGCGAAATTTCCCACACTTATACAGAATATAGAGAAAGAGTGCAAAATGTTTTTATTTATTTATCATAAAAAAAACTACCGTGTATTTGAGACAACACATACATTTATATATACTTGGTGTTTATTTTCAAACTTTTGTTATCTTTTAAAGTCTGCAGTAAAATTGAGAATAGATTAATATTGTTCACCTTTAAAAGTATAAGTTTTTGACACTAGAACCATAATAATGTTCAACTTATAATTTCAATTAATTATAGTCGGTTTTAGACTACTGCGGGACCACTCAAGTTTGGTTCGTTTTCTCATTGATTGATTAGGGGATGAGTACCTGGGTGAGGCTTCTACCATGAGTTCGGCCGGCCTGACGGTGGGCACGCGCAGGGAGGTGATCCGCGTGGGGTCGCGCGGCCGCCCTCCCTCCTCGCGCGTGTTGTATCCGGTAACGCGCTTGTCTCTTTCCGAAACCTGTTGACAACAAACAAACATTAGCTCCTTTTCTTTCTGGGCCTCCTCCTGTCACACTGTTTACTGGTGGTTGGACCTCTTGTGAGTCCGCGCGGGTAGGTACCACCACCCCACCTATTTCCGCCGTGAAGCAGTAATGCGTGTCGGTTTGAAGGGTGGGGTAGCCGTTGTAACTACATAAGAACTTATATCTCAAGGTGGGTGGCGCATTTACGTTGTAGATGTCTATGGGCTCCAGTAACCACTTAACAGCAGGTAGGCTGAGAGCTCGTCTACCCATATAAGCACTAAAAAAACACAGATTGTACTATTTTTTAATGCTACCAAGCTGAGCTGACATTTAACCTAATTATTAAGCGATCAACATCCATTCACTGGAGGACAGCATTTTTCACAAGGCCACATGAATCCCATGAATACAAAGAACTTCTCTATACTTAATGACTATCTACAGAAGAAGACAATTGTTCAATTATGGATATAATTTCATGTTAGGCTGCTGTGATGAGGATTATTGTTATTGAATCACGAAAAAAAGAAAACCAGAACTTTTATTGTACTTTTCGATTAATCTAAGTGAGTTAAAACGTTTATCTCGTGTCGCATTAATCCATCAACATCGATCTATGACGTAAACGGAAGTACGAGCATTTGTAAACAAACATTATTCTGCAATTACCATTGTATCTCAAGGTCCAAATTTTACACAATAAAACATAAATTGCCCTATTTAAATCGAACTGATATTATCCCGACAACCAATTTAGAAACTATTCTCTAGTGTGTGTTTAAAATGGAGTTGTTATCTATACTATCTATACTAATCTATACTAATATTAAAGAGGAAAGATTTGTTTGTTTGTTTGTATTGAATAGGCTCCGAAACTACTGAACCGATTTGAAAAATTCTTTCACTGTTTGGAAGCTACACTATTCCCGAGTGACATAGGCTATAATAATCTTTTTTGAAAAAAATTAGAGACTTTACTAAAACTCCAATAATGTAACTCAAGGTGTAAAAAGATTACCCAAAATATTCTTTACATCGCGTGCCCTGCGAAAACTATTGGTGATAGAATAAAATAATGTACTACGACTTTGTAGAAAACATAATTATTTACAAAAAGTGTCGCGACAGCATATATGTCTAACTAATATAGTTACCTATGCCGCAATAAGTGTTCTTTTATTTAAAAAAATAAAACAACGTCAAATATCGTTGAAAATTTTGTTAAATACCCGAGCGCAGCCGGAGCGGGCCGCTAGTTTTTTATAAACACGTTAACATGCTATATAGAGAAACTCACAGGGATGCACTAACCTTCCATAATTTAATAGTCTTATCGTTGGTGGACAGTAAGAAATGGGCCTGATTCTTCCTCTTCAGCCACCTGATCTTGTTGATTTTCTCTTCGATCTCGAGGGACTTCAGGTAATCGAACTCTGGTTCGTGGGATTGAAACGTCGAATAAACGTTGTATTCTCCTTTTTTGGGTACACACTGCTTTGATGCTGGATCTCTCTGAAATTTAATTATATCAAGGATAAATTATGTGGAGAAAATGTATTCATCTACTAAATTTGTTTTTTTTTTAATTCACTATAGGTACTGTTTCGATTGTGCTTTGACCTACGTAAATTATTTTTCCAAGATTGTATTTTTCCCTACCTAAGCTTATAGCCTTGAGAGGCTATTTCAGTAACCCAACTAGTAGGTGAGCTCACGGGGCTTAAACCGGAGTGATGCTAACACTGACCCTAGCAAGAGCAGTGCTTCGCAGAATCTACCACCGGATCGGAAACGCGACCCACTGAGAAAATCCGGCGAGAAACTCCGTGGGCTGTGTCTATGGATTAATTCGCTCGTCGAGCCCTTCGTCGCAAGCAACGGCTTCGGCGAGGACGGTGACCGGGGTGATTGATGTAAAATAAGCTATACAACATTTGTAGAAAATCGTTCGTAAATATATCACTAGCATATATTATTATGTAATAGAAGAAATAATCTTACAAAAAAAAATGCTTTCAAATTCAGTGGCCCTCCTTCATAGAGATGACGGATAACGTAATTAAAAATAGTTACTACACGCGTTCACTTCAAAGAATCGACTTTACGACGTTTTCCGACGTTCGTGTCGTAAATATTTATCTTGATTTAAAACTATCGTGATCACATCGTTACCAAGTAGTTGTATATTTATTTTATCAACGTTTTTTTGTTGTTACAATGAACAAGAACTTAGTAACAAATAGTAAGGCAAGTAATTTTTCACTATTATGCAGGGTATATACAATGCAGTAATATAACCATCCTCCTAATTTAAGACGGGTGGGTAGTGTGAAGATATCACACAATAACATCTCAATATTGCTCTCTAAAAGTCTTATTATACTACCGTTTATCACACCGAATTAATTGTAATATATTTATAAAAAAGCACGCATGTGTAGTATCTAGTTTGGCAAATTAATATTTGTTATCTGCTTATGTTAATCTTATGTGTCTACACCAATGAATTTTTGCCCTTTATACCTTTCTAGAACATCCATGGGATGATAATGGAACTTTGTATAAATATTTTTTGTCACTTTAAGGAATGTTTCTGTCATACTCCCATCAAAGCATTCTCATTAACATATTTTTTTACACACCAATGGATTAATGATTTAAAAGGACAAAACCTGATTTTTCGAATTATTTAAGAATGGCCTATTATTTGAATGGATTATATAAAAAAAAAACGATAGAAATTTGAACAAGATGCTCGTATTAAAATCTTATAACAAAACGCAGAAAATGAAATCCTTTGAATATAAGAAGTGGCACATCAAATCATTTGAAACAAGAATTTGTGCGTTTAATCTTTGACTTGAATTCAAAAACTTTTACTTGTACAACTTATTTCGACTTGCAAAAATTCAATCAAAATTACATAATATGGATAAGAATAATTCTCAACAACCCAGGTTTGCTCACGAACCAGCAACATACAGTCATTGTTATGTAAATGTTAGCTTTGATACATTATGATTAGATACGCAATCAATTTTAAATGTATTCAGCACGCTTCAACCCAGAGCATCTTATATACTTTATCTGGCTATTGCTCCTACTATATAACCTCATTGTCGGTTTTGTAGTGGTATCATCAATTTTTTTTTTATATTCTTTTTTTTTTTTTATTGCTAGATGAGTGGACGAGCTCACAGCCCACCTGGTGTTAAGTGGTTACTGGAGCCCATAGACATTCATGCTATGTCATATACGTCTAATTTATGCGCCACCCACCTTGAGATATAAGTTCTAAGGTCTCAAGTATAGTTACAACGGCTGCCCCACCCTTCAAACCGAAACGCATTACTGCTTCACGGCAGAAATAGGCAGGGTGGTGGTACCCACCCGCGCGGACTCACAAGAGGTCCTACCACCAGTAAAAATTCCTCAACTCAACTCCAGTATCATCAGTACTTGATGTGGAAGTCATGTTTTATTGATGCAACGGAGACTAAAAACTTCACGATTTTAAAATTAGTACAAAGAGTGTTAAATATTAGCATAATCTACTATTAGCATAATCTACATACGTATAATACAAGCTCGTCTGGTGTTGATACCATGGCAAATGTACGAAGAAAAAAAAATTCAAATTCTCGAATACAAGCGGCGAGATTATCGTATGCGATTATCATGCGATATATGACTCTCACTTTCAGCTGTTTACACGATGATAAAGCTGGTATCAATCAAAACTTAATTTAAAAGACGGCACACGCTTCAATAGTTTCAAAACGTATGGTACTTTATACTAGCCATAAAGATTTCATACAATCAGTCACTAATAACCACAATACATATCGAGACAGTGTCACCTACTCGTGTTCGAGTCTCCTTCTGTAATGATATCTATATTAATATATAAATCTACAGTGGTTTTTACGGATGTTCCGTTATAACTACTGAACCATGCATCCGATTGACTTGAAACTTGGTATCCATGTAGAAAATACATGTAATTAATGGATATGCTAATATTTATGTGAGTGTTGGACTCCCTACACCAGTTGCGGGGGCGTTAATGTTGATAATCTTTGTGGGGGTGAGAAATAATAATGTTAATTTTAAATTATGATATTATAATGTGATGTCAGATATCATCATCATCATTTCAGCCTATCGCCGTCCACTGATGAACATAGGCCTCTCCAATAGATTTCCAGTGCGACCGGTCCATTGCCACCTGCATCCAACGAAGTGAACTGAAGTGGCAATGGGCCGGCTACATAGCACGAAGAGAGGACGGTCGATGGGGCAGAAAGATCCTGGAGTGGCGACCACTTACTGGCAAGCGCAGTGTGGGACGGCCACCTACTAGATGGACCGACGACCTAGTAAAAAGCGCTGGGTCTCGTTGGATGTCAGATATATTACCTGAAATATAACAACTCTGCCGCCCTTATCGCCGGTGGCCAGCAGTTCGCCGTCGTGGTTGAACTCTACACAGGATATCAGGTCGGCCTCCGTCACGTCATCCTCGAGGGTGCCTTTCACCTGACTAAAACACCACGTCGTCTCCCCACCATTGCCTGGAACAAGAAAAACGTACACTGTTACATTTAGGACATTCTACCCCCCCCTTTTTAGAGAATTGTTTTTTAAAAGGAATTCACAGTAGCTTGTTTACTCTACTCTTTAAAATGTTATATGTGGTAGGACCACTTGTGATTCCGCGCGGATAGGTACCACCGCCCTGCCTATTTCTGCCGTGAAGCAGTAATGCGTTTCGGTTTGAAGGGTGGGGTAGCCGTTGTAACTATACTGAGACTTTAGAACTTGTATCTCAAGGTGGGTGGCGCGTCTGTTGTAGATGTCTATGGGCTCCAGTAACCACTTAACACCAGGTGGGCTGTGAGCTCGTCCACTCATCTAAGCAATAAAAATAAAAATACAATCGACTTGAAATAATATAAATTTTCATTAGTGAAAGTATAATAGTTGTTTAAGCCCTACCTTCTTCAACCAGTGTTCACCCAATACTGAGTGTAGGGTCTATCCAAATGCCCTACACTGAGGTCTAATTAAAGGCAGGTTACTCTGTATTTCAATACAACTGAAAGGTCGACCTTTGTGTCACAAAGTGTGTGGTGGCTTTCAAATTATGATATTTTTATTGTCTGGTAACCATTTAATATCAGGTGGGCAATAAACCTGCTAATTTCTCAATGATACTATATTACTTGTGGACAACTGAATTAACTTACCTAAAATTATACATTAAATACTGGTGAATTATAAATATGCAAAACCAAATTTTAAATAATTATTAAAATTATTCAACTACTACTTAAAACTAGTTATATCGGAATCAATAGATGTTAGTAAAGATAAAACTGTAAATGCAATGTATGCTAAAATATAGATTTTAAAAAGGAACTATGATGTTATTTATACACATAGACTTTAAAGGGAAACGTTTATGTTTACATATAAAAATTAAATTTTAATTCCCTCCAAAATCCATGTTATGTTAAAATGAAAATAAAGATAGAAAATTAAAAACAATATCATCATAATCATATTTTCTACTGTTTTATTGGTCACACAATTCAATGAAAACTGTTAGTCACATTAAAATTCGGTAATCGGTAATTTAAAACGAAAGGAATGTTAGTTGAGAGCATATGAGAAAGCGCAAAAGGTTCTCGCAACACTATTCTTACTCTCAACAAAACTAGTACCTAGTGTTACCCCATCATTTAATTTCATTTAGTACTTTTTTCATTTACGGTCACTACAAAATATACCATCAATACACTATAATATCAGAAGCTACTACATATTTGATAATTTCATATCATAAGTAACTACATACAGTCACATAGTGTATTCCAATGTTGACGACACGATGAATGCCTCCAATTTGCAATATTATCCTGTATCCTTATACGACGATTTGAATACCAGGGCACTTCTTTCTTTTTTAACATTTTCATTGAACTAAAACTTAATAACACTCCAACATAGTAAGTCTGAGATTAATGCACATTTTACAATATATATATATAGTTTAGGAACACTATTCCTGTACAGCTCTAAGGCATGCCTGTAAGGTAAATGATGATTAAAAGTCGCATTTCCCAACCTGTTTTCTCATCAATTTCGTTATACCATACACATAAAAGCGTATATTCTTACGGTAATACTATATAGTCTTTTGTGTGCGTTTTGTAGGGTGGTTTAAAACAATGAAACACGTACAATAGGCACAGCGACATGTGACGCATTCCGAAAGAAGTGCAAATGAAACGGCCGTGTAATTGAATGCTATAAATAGCTGACAATTATAATGTACTCATTCAGACGCATTCCGTACTTAAACTATAAATCTAGTTTCAATGGTTTGACTATATACACTAGTAATGAATTTTCTGTGGCCTAATAGATAAAAGTCCAGTGACTAGCAAGTGAATATAATATAACTTTTACTGCTGTTCAAAAACTGAGACGGTTACTTTTTTTTTCTGAACTAATATTTATCAATGTGTAGTATGAAACTCGTGTCATAGAAAAAATACGAAAATTGATAAAATTAAACGATCGTTAGGAATAATGCGAAAGCGCACGTATATTCAGGCTCACTTCCACCACTGAAATTCCTGTGTAGCCATGATTGAAGCGTCGACCAGGAAAAGATTGAACCATGACGTCGAGGCAATTAAGTAAAGCTAATTTGAATCAGATCCAACATCGAAATAAATTACAAAATAATAGGAGGCGTAAGAACTTAGATTTGAACTTCGCTCCCCACAAAGCGGAGCGGAAAACAAGAAATGGCTGAAAAGCACTTAACCAGAAGCTAAGAGCAATTAGTATGAAAAAACTCAACTATCACCAGGACCGGATTTAAACTTAATGCTACTCCTGGGCACGAATAATAGATGAATTGAATTTATTAAATTATCAATTAAACAGAAAATTGTTAATAAATAGAATTAATTAATTATATTGAGAAATCTTGATAAGGCATAAAAAGATTTTTCACTTTAAAAAATTTGCCGCCCTAAAAAATTTGCCACTCTGGACACTCGCCCTGACTGCCCCTAGTGTAAATTCACCATTGACCATCACGCACCATTTCGAAGTCGTCTTGGCATAAAGGATAAGACGTCCGGGGAACGCGTGTGAACAATGCGACTATGCAGCCTTAAATCTTTATATTATCTTTAAAGCTGGTACTAACTTTTCTAATGGAATACGTACTAAGCATGTATTCATAAATAACTTCAACAATTAAGAAATAACAATATGCAATACCACTCAAACCCGGTAAAATTATAATTTACATAATTATTGGTGGTGAGGCGCCCATCACTAGGCCATTTTTTCCACATAGCAGTCATGGGTGCCTGTTTTAAAAGCGGGACACCCTTAAACTAGACAATTTAATATCAGCACAGAGTGGAGCTGCCCATTTACAACTATCAAAAATAATTTTATTTTTGCAGAAATAGATTTAATAGATTTATTATAATTAATATTATCTTTGAACTCATTTTAAAAGTGTAAATGTCTATCTATACAGCAAATATTATAGACAAGATGATAATATCTGTACACTAGCCAGGTCTCAAGAATTTTATACATGTAATAGAAGGCAATAAAATATTGTACAACTTACCTAAAGTAGTTCAAAACTATTAACAACATTAATATGTAGTGGAATGTACAGTACAGATTTTTACTACATTCGTGGACAAATTCAGAGGAATACAAAAAATTCTTTTCTACAGTAGTAATAAAATTATTGTGTGCTCGGCACATAGATTAATAAATCTAATTAAAATAGCTTGTTTTTTTTCTTCTTTTTATAAATTACTAGTGACCCGCCTACACTTCACTGTGAATATAGCTAATTGTATGAAAACATGTTTTTTTTTAAACTTAAACTTTTATGAAGTTTTGATAGTGCTATAAAAAATATTAAAACTTTCGTCACAATCAGATGAATGATTTAGAAATGCATAGAGGACAAACATACATTAATTTATATTTTTTTATATAAAAGTTTATATTTTTATATTATACAAGGTAGCTATTTGCTTCTGTTTATTTCAAATTCTATTTTTATTTTTTATTGCTTAGATGGGTGGACTATTATTAAGTTATGGTTTAACTGTATATAATTAGTATATTATTATTATTAATAGTTTTATCTAAAATTTTGAATTTGAGTTTATATTCATATTTTGTTTGAATTCATGCCTTGACTGTCCTGATAATCGAATTAAGTGAGAACTGTCAATGCACATAAGCTGAGATTTTTTTATGTAAACAACTACTGTCGTAATTGAAATCAGGCACACCTACAAATACAGGGACCAAATATAACTAATAAATTTTGTGGTAAACCAAGATGTCAAGAGATATTAGTAGATCACAGCTGTTCAGTATAGGATATTTACAGGATGTTTAGGCAAAAATTGGTTTTCATAGTTACAAAAGTGGATATAAACAAGATCTTTGTTTGTTTTTAAACAAAGCTCCTATAAATTCAAGGAATTATATTACGGACATAATCACAGAAATATTACAGAAAATTCACACATGCCTACCCCATGCCATTAAGTAATTCAAGTTATATGTCTTCCAATTAAAACAATTAGAATAGTGAATCCAAATGATCAAAGGACCAAGGTGTGGTGACATCCAGGAAAGAGGATGCAGACTGCAACGTTATTGTAAATAAAATAGATGTGGTACATTGAATGAATTATAATGCATAAAAAAATTCAACCTAAATCATACAGCCAAAGCCTATTTTCTAAATTTAAAACATGTTATTCTAGTATAATACTGGCTTAAACAATAAAAACATGTTATACTAGTTCAAAAATTCGAGCATAACATAAAATAAAGAATTACCAACAAAAATTTATTTGAAAATTATGCCAATTTGCATTTTTATCTTCAGGGTACTTCTATTGAACTTTATCATATATTTAAGAAAATATTAAGTATATAAAGATCATACATAATCATTGTGAAAATTGTTATACCTTGTGAAGGAAAACTTATAAAAGCATGATATGATCTAATTTGGCATAACACCAAGAACAGAATGTATGTTTAGAATGTCAATCAGATGCCATATCCTTGTATAAAAGTACTTCCTGTTATTTATAGATAAATAATGTATCTATAATGTTTAAGTTAATTTATTTATCAACTAGGTGTGTCAGAGGGTTCTGTACCACTTATTAAATTGAAGAAAAATTAATCGTGTTTTCTTAATTTATTACAATAAATAACTATCTTAAGCAGGACAAAGATTTCATGCCAAATTTACAATCCAAAATTTGAGACCAAGAAAACATAAGGATGAATTTGGCTTAAAAAATGTGGATGTTTTAAATTTGGTCAAAATTCCAATTTCTTGTTTGTTTTATATATTTTAACACGCATAATCCAATTCTAGGTACAAATTATCAAGTGGCTCTAGTCTGCTGTTTCAGCTGCTAATGGTAATTAAGCAACAACTTGTCATTATCACTAACATATGCATAGCCATGAGATGTCAGGTACTATTGTACTGAAGTACAGATAAATACAATTTTATATATTTCCAAATTTATGTACACATTAGTGACTTAGAAAATATGTGAATTTTTATGAACAGAAGAATCAACATTTCAGATGTTCATAGGAAACAATTCTTGTTCTATTTTTCTTTTTGTGATTTTAATTAGCTACTGACCTAAAGAATTTAATCAATTTGTTTATCCCCTAATCTAAAACATTATCTAACTGTTGTTTATGTGTAGTATAATTTTGAGAATCAATGACAAATCAATATTTTTATTTAGTCCATAGCCCAAAACATTTGCATGACTTTTAATTGTAGTGGTATGTCTATAAGTGGTATAGGAAAATTCTGTCTGAAGTGTGTTTATAAAGGAGCAAGCATTTTTTTATCACTATTATCAGACGAGGCAGAGAAATAAAGACAAAGTACCTAATAATAAGAGAGATACGTGACTTTATCAAAAAAACCATTAAAATCCGTTTTATATTTTCTTTAAATACAGAACGCCCACTTGATGGACAGCGTTATTATTGCACATATATGTCACCAATACCAGATACAAGCTTCTTTTATCTAAGTTGTCTAGTCGCAGTTACAATCAAAGACTACAGAAAAGAAACATGCCAATTTCAATGGTTTCGACATATGTTTCTGTTAGACTATAACACTAAAATGAAAACAAATATAACCGGTACCTGTTCTATTTCAAATTATGTAATTTTTACTATTATATGATTGAGAACAAAAAAGGAAAAAAATATTTGTAATCTTATCTCATTACTTTGACACTAGATGATGAATTATCTATGAACTAGTAATATTACTCAAAAATCAAGTTTGAAATTATTTTTGTATAATAATTCATTGAACTACTTTGGATTTACACCTGTTTTTGTTTTAATGGCAAATAACAGCAAATTATTTAGGCACTTTTCTACATATATCTATTCCTACTTTTTCTTTGAAATACTAAAGATAATAAATACACGAACGACAGTTAATTGGTTGGGTAACCGCATCATTTGAACATCAAATCTACTTAAAAAAGTTTACTTAACGTATTTTACACCGTGCTAACCGTTTATTAACTTTCAGATCGCGTCTATTAAGCGTATATTTCCATTTCTATACCCGTTAATGTGCGTCATTTGTTGCTAACTATGAATAACACCGATGCTTTTGCGATCATCTGGTTCAAGATTTTGTTAGTCTGTTAGTAACCAGTTTTCTCGCATTGAAATCGCAGTTTCAATTGTAAAAGATACACTAGGTCTATAGCAACGACCCGTTCTTGATGAGAATAACTGACCAAACTATGAAATATGAGCAAAAGGTTAAAATATTGGTTTATGTAGTGATAACCAAACAGTGTCAAACAACAAGCTATAATCAAAATACGTAAACAATACAATTATAAAACCAAGCTAATGACAATAACATTGCATTTACCGTCAGAGTTTGAACGATAAAACATCTTCGACTTATTGCGATTTCCAAATCCGATTTCGCCCTTGACTAGCGGGCGCAAAAAGTCACCACTTACCGGCCATGACAAAGCCCAGCACAAAAACTTTAAGTAGTTCGATAGTTTTAGTACACAATCACTTAAATGTTTTGTTAAAACATCACACAAATTTGTCGATGAAAACGGATTACAATCATTTCAAGATTTACATCGGTAAAAAAGCAATGGCGGTCAGAAACACATACAAATGATTACTACAGTATTCTGTGTTGTCAACACACTGGTAGAAAAACTACTATAATGTCGAATTTCCTTTCCAACTTTTTTCAGATAATGACTTTGAATAAAATTATTTTAGTCAATAATAAATATAAATTTTAAAAATAGTTAGAACACTTGTATTGTATTATATAGCATGATTCTCAAAGAACACAAAATCGTTCTATAAAATTATTCAAATTGGTCTCAATTAATTACTAACTTACGAAATACATACATTTTTTCCCCAATGTATGCCCAGAGAATCTCAAAATTAAATAAAAATAATAGACTACAGAATTCCCAGCATAGCATCGGCCTGGGTGCTAATCTTTTTCCCTACTTGACTTCTTCTGCTCCTCCATTGAATTCCGATATTCAGTACATTTAGTTGGGTATTTTAAGTGTCCATGTGAGTTGAAAACACCGCTCTGCCTATTTCTGTTCAACAGCATTCTAATTCTATGTTAAATTGTGGGATAATCATTTTTACAGGCAATTTAGTTGTTGATCTAATATCTTAATGTAGGTAGCGAGATTCACTTTATGTTGTCTATGGAGTCGGACAACCACTTTTATAATACGGAGACTGCGAAATCAGCTGCCAATGTAATTATAAATTATTACTTTTTGGTGAGTAAATATTAAACATGGTAACATTGATGCATTCTGTCAAAACTTAACGTTTGCTCGCAAAACAGTTCGGAATACATTTTTGATCGTTTGAATTATAGACGTTAGTGCTGCCATCTAGGATTTTAAATTTTTTAAGCAACCCATTTATTTTCGTATGAATAAATAAATAGCATAGAACAGTACATACCTATTTATTCTAGTAGGTAAATAAATTGAACTGTTCTTGGGAATTGTTTGTGGTGTTTCTTTAAATTTCTTTTCTAGGCTTACATACATCGATGCATCTTCTCCTCTTTACCGTTTTTACCGCTCTACTTGTATCTGTTTAACTACTTACCAGTTACTTAGACCCAATGTCCTGACCAGTATCACCAACATAAAGCAGTTCCCAACACAACTATTAATTGTTCAAATTTTGACTTCATTGTCAAACGTGACACTTTAAAAAGTATAAGAATACAAGATTGATACAGTATACATACAAAGATTACGTGTAATTTATTCTCGTTTATAATACCTACTGAAGTTTGAACATTTTTGCATAATATATTTTGACGGCATTTTCACCACCATGAGTGCAGATATGTATAGTTCGGTAAGTCGATATTTATTATTTCTACTTCATTATTCTATTAGTTCTACTTTATCATTCTATTAGTACATTATTTTTTATATTTATTTGTCAGCCCTGACGCCTGCTGGACATAAGGCTATCCCATTATTCGCCACAATTCAAGGTTCGGACTGCTTGTTTGCGCTGCCCGCATCCGTAACATGATTTAGTTTAAAATATGGTGATAGGTAGTTCATAACATTAATCGTCACATCTGAATACAATCTAATCTAATACCACGATGTGGTAGCGCCTTTTTCATGTCCAAGTCTCGTAAAGACGAAGCGTATTTACACTACCAGGTTTTAAAACCAGGTTTTCACTTCGAAGTACGGCGCCCTGGTACGAACAAAAAATACTTGCAAATATAAAAGTATTTGTGCTGAAGTCGGATTTTGCTCCTTATCTCTCATGGAATACGGGCTGAATTCCTATGCAAGATTTTCAAATTTGAAAACCGCGGCCTCTCAAGCAGTACATACGTATACTTTCAAGTATTTTTAAAACCTGGTTTTTGACCCTGGTATTTTTCAGTACTCGTACTTAGAAGCCCTGGTATTCCCTGGTATTCAATTTTGCAAGTATGTCTCATCGCTAAAGCCTCGTATGTTTTTTCTACCTTTGTCTGCTGTTGATAATGGGCCCACGGTTTGACAAGTAACTTGTGTCTCATTGTGGGTAGCAGCATTCACCACACACATTTTGATGTCTATGGATTGCCGTAATCTCTCTGGGGCGGAGTTTGATCGACTTTTATACTTAATCCAAATACGTAAATAAGTACGCGATCTCTGCTCTCCTTCTAAACTATGATCACATTTTTCGTTATTTTAATTGAATGATTTGGATCAGCCACCCTTGTTTAGTATGGTGAGGATATGCGCGATCTTCCGCGAAGATTGAACCTGGTATTATAAGACAAGCGGATTAAATAAGCCTGGAATCCTGAACTATTTTACTGGTGGTAGGACTTCTTGTGAGTCCGCGCGGGTGGGTACCACCACCCTACCTATTTCTGCCGTGAAGCAGTAATGCGTTTCGGTTTGAAGGGTGGGGCAGCCGTTGTAACTATACTTGAGACCTCAGAACTTATATCTCAAGGTGGGTGGCGCATTTGCGTGATGTCTATGGGCTCCAGTAACCACTTAATACCAGGTGGGCTGTGAGCTCGTCCACCCATCTAAGCAATAAAAAAAACGTATTATAATTAAGTGTGTTTGTGTGTGTTAGCGCGGACGGTATGTGTCACGAAAATCCAGAGAGTTGCTTCACCGTACGCTATTTGGTAGGGAGATATCTGGTGGCTCGTCCCAAGTCGATTATAGGTGAATTCTTAGACCAAGAGATCGGCAGTCACAATATATCCTTCGACCATACTTTTATCAGATATACGCAATACGTCCTTACCGTTTTTGTGACCATGATCGAATATAATGCTGAGCTTTTGAAGACTCGTTTGGCGAGCCTCGGCGAAAAGGCGCCTTTTGTTCTTCGTGGACGGCTGCGCTGCTAGCGGTGACACAACCATTGTTGTCGTTGCCATTTCAATCCCTCATTCTGGATCTGAGAACAAAATTAATTGTCACCGTTAAAATTTGTATTGGAAATTTCGTAAGGCTTTTTTTATTTCTTTATAGCTTAGATAGGTGGACGGGCTCACAGCCCACATGGTGTTAAGTGGTTACCGGAATCCATAGACATCTACAACTTAAATGCGCCACCCACCTTGAGATATAAGTTCTTAAGTCTCAAGTATAATTAGTTACAACGGCTGCCCCACCCTTCAGACCGAAATGCATTACTGCTTCACGGCAGAAATAAGCGGGGTGGTGGTACCTACCCGTGCGGATTCACAAGAGGTCCTACCACCAGTAATTACGCAAATTATAATTTTGCGGGTTTGGTTTTTATTACACGATGTTATTCCTTCACCGTGGAGGTCAATCGTAAACATTTGTTAAGTACGTATTTCATTAGACAAATTGGTACCCGCCTGCGGGATTCGAACACCGGTGCATCGCTACAACATACGAATGCACCGGACGTCTTATCCTTTAGGCCACGACGACTTCAAAGGCTGTTAGCAATGTGTTAGAATTTTCGTGACTGTTTGTGTCTCGGAGCAATCATGTGTTTAGATTTAAAGGGCGGCCGATGTACTAATGCTATCGTGGCATTAATTTACTACAGAGTCCGAGTAACGGGATCCTCACAATAATGTCTGTCTGCTGTCTTAATTAACAAATAAACGTGAACCGGACCTTGCGTTTAATGAATCTGTACTTCGAGAAGGCGGCACGACATGAAAATCCCCTTGTCGTGGCCGCCGCTAATTACATACCCGATCCCGTGGATCGAATGGTAAACAGTCGACGTCGCCCTAAACTCGTCATTACGGATCCTCCCGATCCATTAACGGTGCTTTTAGGTACCTAAAGGACCAGTCACCGCTCTCGCCGAACCCGTCGCTTGCGACGAAGAGCTCGACGAGCAAATTAAACCATAGATACAGCCCACCGAGTTTCTCGCCGGATCTTCTCAGCAGGTCGTGTTCCGATCCGGTGGTAGATTCTGCGAAGCATTGCTCTTGCTAGGGCCAGCGTTAGCAACACTCCCGGTTTGAGCCTCGTCAGCTCACCTACACGTCAAGGAGAAGCTGAAATAGCCTGTCAAGGCTATCAACATAGGAAGAAAAAAATGGAATCTGGCTGATTAAATACGTTTTTTTGTATCTCAAAGAATACGCTCGTGAAGAATGTCCTAATTAGGCACAGGCTCCTACCAGGATCATACAGTTATCTAATATGACGCAGTTGTTCAGGTTTATACCGAAGTAGGTAATTTCTTTGTCAGTTTCGCCCATGATATGCGGGAGGTAAACTAACCGGTAATAATTTGTTATCTCAACCGTAAATATGTAGTTATGTCGTTTTAGCTTCTTAATTTGCGAACTCTTAGGCATTATTACGTCACATTTGTTGTGTAAATTCATGAAAAAAACATTTTTTTTTTGGTTTCTTGACCTTCAAGACGGTATAATTATCGTGTGAAGCAGTTTTTTTCCGCAATTTTTCCGGTTTTAAATTGTGACTTCATTAATACAACTGATTATAATTATATGTTAATCCCACGACTCTGATACATTTTCTTTTTCGTGTGAACTTTCCTTTATTGTTATGACGATGGTTACATCAGCTACTTACGTAAACTGCATCATTGCCTATTATTAATAATTAATAAAACTATTAATAGTTCTAGAACAAAAATTATGGACACTGTCAGGGATTTAAGTCCCATGGATGCAGAAGTAAGTATCAAGCATGTGTGATGCTGTCGATTCTTCAGAGAAAATATCTGTTATAGTATTATCAACGTAAAGAAGTGGCATGTTTATAGTTTTAACTGATAGCTGATTTCATTTATTGTTTAGTCACAGTTCTAGCTGCGTTTGACCAGTTTCTAATAAAACCACGGTTTGAAGGAATACCGGCCTATACCTAAGCCAATATGGACAGCGTCAAGGATGCTTAGTTCATATTCGGTGGAACTGTGTTCACTGTAATAAAATAATCTTTTAAATAATAAATTGCGTCATATTTTTATTCATTTATTATTAGGCACACAATACACATTGCGAGCTAAAAAAAAAAGACAAAAAAAGAACAACAGGTAAAAAATCTGCCTTGTAACATAATCCGTGTGCGCACGACTAATGGGCTAAGTACTCTCTTAGTCAGTGGCGTAGCTACCTAGGGGCTAGGCGGGGCAGTGCCCCGGGGCCCTCAAGCTCAGGGGGCCTTCGAATCCTTACCAGAAATCTCGATGGAACTGAACTTTTGGAAATTTCTCCTATTTTCAAAATAAATATGACAGGTTGCAATCCCACTTTAATCATGACAATACAGTTGAGAGAAATCATGGAGTTAATAAGTACCTACAATAGAATAGTAGAAAAGTTAGAATAGTAACTCTATGAGAGAAATCCAAAAGTTATGCCTAGGGAATTCCCCTAAATTCTTGCTGTAGGTTGGCAGTGTTGTCAATTTGACGGATAGTGATATGTGCGTTTTATTTTTCATCGATGTGCGTTTTATTGTGAATTCGAGTTAAGATTTTAATTTCGAGAATGGTTATAAAATTAATGCTGTATCAGAAGTAAGCTCGTAGAGGCCGTGCGGCGCGCTACCAGCACTCTAGCGCGCCCTAATTTACATAGCAGTGGGGCCCCATTTTTTTATTTGCCCTAGGGCCCTCGTTTACCTAGCTACGCCACTGCTCTTAGTAAAGAATTCTCAAGACCACAGGACAAACCGATAATTTCATTTTGAATGTCGATTCTGTCCACGTGCCACCCTTTCATACTAACGTCACGTCTCTCAAACTTGAGTCTCTTTGAGTCTAGAGAATAACAGTAACAACCAAATTATCATCATTCGTTTGGAAAAGAATCAAAAACAAGGTCTTATTACAGCGTTATTTCTGCACATCACCTTACTTTTATAATGGCGTTACAACCTTTACAATGTCTAGATAAAACACGAGTCATTATCCACGACTTATCTATACTAATATAGAAATCTACAGTGGTTTTTACGGATGTTCCGTTATAACTGCTGAACCATGCATCCGATTGACTTGAAACTTGGTATCCATATAGAAAATACACGTACTTAATGGATAGTCTAATATTTATATGAGTTTTGGACTCCCTACACCAGTTGCGGGGGCGTTAATGATGAGAATCTTTGTGGTGGTGAGAAATAATAATGTTAATTTTAAATGCCCAGCGAAGCGGACGGGTACAGCTAGTACCTATATAAATATACGAATATTAAGGAAAAATCAGAAAAACCATTCATGTTTTCTTTTAAAATGTAACGTTAAGTCGACTAGAGGTCGAACGCAAAAATTCGTCCTACAAAAGGTATTTAAGTCGCGAATTAATTAAACGAGACCGATCCAAACCGATTCCAACCGAATCGCGCTGAAGTTTAATGGGAGTTTTTGCCTTTATTAATTTTTCTCATCGTATTTCAGAGCGCCACAGATCAGTTGACGAAGGAACGCGGGATATGCATGGAAAGTATGTATTCAGAATTTATATTGCAGAGTACACGTACTAAATTTAGTTTTGTAATCTGTATCCTGGTATACTTTCTCGAATACCGTATTACTTCCCCACTATGTATCCTTAGTATATATTTTTTATTGCTTAGATGGTTGGACGAGCTCCGGCCCACCTGATGTTAAGTGTTTACCGGAGCCCATATATATACAACCTAAATGCCGCCACCTACCTTGAGATATGAGTTCAAAGGACTTCGTATAATTACAACGGTTGCCCCACCCTTCAAACCGAAACGCATTACTGCTTCACGGCAGAAATAGGCAGGGTGGTGGTACCTACCCGCGCGGACTCTCAAGAGGTCCTACCACCAGTAATTGAGCTTGGTAAGAGAGCTCACAGGACTTAATCTGGGAAGACTTGCTAACATTAGCCCTATATAGAGATGCGCTACGCTGAATCTACCACCTACTTCGCGGTATTTTCTCACCGCATCAATGCTCGCTGAGAAGATACGGCGAGAAATTATTTGGGTTCTATATTACTAATTAAATACTATGAATATCTATACATATAAATAAAATATATGTGTCTGTTTGTAATATTGAAATAACCGCTTTTTACTACATGCAGGTATATACGGTACATACACCAAAATAACATTTTTTACAATTTTTGTCTGTCTGTCTGTTTGTTCCGGCTAATCTCTGGAACGGCTAGACCGATTTTGACGAGACTTTCACCGATAGGTAGCTGATGATATAAGAAGTAACTTAGGCTACTCGCGGTACGACAATAGCCGCGGGTAACATCGCGGGACTCAGCTATCAATAATAAAATTTAATTTTTCCGAAGCGAAGCGAGGGCGGGTCGCTAGTAATAAATATTATTAAACTAAAATAAAACACAGTTTCTTTGTATGTTTTGATTATAAAATATGCCTTTCCACCTTTAATTGAAACTATGACCTCGTATCTCAAGTGAGGTAGCTACATCTAAGTTGTTGGCTCCGGCAGCCGCTTAACATGAGGCGTTCGTAATCTCGCTCTAAGCAATAAATAAGAAGCTGTGTCGATTGACTTGATATGGATGTTTTTGAAAACGTAGCTTTAGCGTCTTACTATTTCAGACTTTATTTTCATTTGACGAAAGTTCAACTTTCCGATTTCGATACCGATGATGGCACAGTATCAAAATAAATAATTGGCAACAGATCGATCGATGATAATCATTATCATGCGTTACTAGTAGGTACTACAGCTTTGTTGGCGATTTGCACATTGCTGGCAATCTTTCAATACTATAATTCGTTTTATTTTACGTTAATGTGAAGCGTTTAGGTGTTCCTATTTCAAGGATGAGCAAATGCAATGCAATCAAAACTTCGGGTCTTAAGCCGCGTAACATGAGATGAGGCAACAATGTTATTGTCACTGACAAAAACTACTTTGAAAGCAAATGAAATATATGTAATAGTTTAAAAAACTAACAAAATACGCTTTTATAGAAAATCCAACTAAAAAGATTGAATTTTTTAAAAATTTTGAATTAAAAATAGTGTAAGTTAAAAGTAGTATAGTTCTTACACTATTTTTAATTCAAATTTATTCTTTATTTTTTTCTATTTTTTAGTTGGATTTTCTATAAAAGCGTATTTTGTTAGTTTTTTCAAACTATTGTTTATTTTTAATTTTTTAGTTGAATTGCAATTTTTTTATTTTTTTTTATTTTTGAATTTTCATCGGTCCTTAATAAGTACACCAAATTTCGGGTTAATCCGACGTTTTTAAAGGGGTGAAAATCATGTTCAAAAATTCCGTTACAAACATACATACGTCTGAAGCTAATAAAAGCGTATTAAAAATCCGCTCCGTTGGTCAAGTGACGATTCACATAGCTCTTGAAGACTTTGGTATTATTTTCAGAGAACTGTGACGTAAGACGAGTGTTTATGACGCTAAAGGAGTGTCAGAAACGAATCAAGTCTAAGACTTACACAGCGGAGACGTGCCACCAAGAAACTGTGGATCTAATTGAAGCCATAGATCATTGCGTCGGCGATAAGGCTTTTATTAAATTTGCATGAAATTTTGAACGTTTTTTTTTTCTTTCAAATTGTAACATAATGCAGGCTGTTTTTGATTTATCGCTCTGGAAGTCTACGAGAGGTAAGTCAGCAGTGTACGTCAGGCATACGATTATAATGGTTGCACTTTAGACAGTGTTAGTGATCGTTATGTAGCCTTGGAGGAGGCCGATTTTACGCGTTTTGCGATTCCTCCCCGCTCGAGGCCATTCCACTGCTTTCGTTAAGTTATCTCGTACCCCAGTTCTGATTTGGTTGGAGACCTCCCACGCAGTCTTGTGCCATCCACCATCATGTTAAATCTACATTGGTACATACAGTTCGAAAGACGGTGGCAGCCTTTAAACAATTGAGACTTCGACTTCGAATTAAAGGGGGTGACATCATTCACGTTTTGATGGCGTGATTACTTAACATCAAGTGGGCCGTGAGCCTACAAAAATGCCTGACGTTTATACAAAATTTTATGATGAGCGATAAACACACAGTTACCACATTTAATGCCAACTACATGGCGCTGTGGGGATGTACATATATGGCCGAGTACACGGTGCTATGAAAGATCGGGGGGCCGAACACACGACGCTATGGCTTGCGAGTATGTTTTTTTTTTCATACATCAGCACCGTTTCCACGGTTACGACAGCTTCACGTGACGCACACATACTCGATCCTGCGGACCGAATGGTAAACAGTCGACGTCGTCCTAAGCACGTCATTACGGATCCTCCCGATCCATTAACCGTGCTTTTAGGTACCTCAAGCACTGGTCACCGTCCTCGCCGAATCCTTCGCTTGCGACGAAGGGCTCGACGAGTAAATTAATCCATAGACACAGCCCACTGAGTTTCTCGCCGGATCTTCTCAGTGGGTCGCGATTCCGAATCGGTGGTAGATTCTGCGAAGCACTGCCCATGCTAGGGCCAGTGTTAGCAACCCTCCAGTTTGAGCCCCATGAGCTCACCTACACGTCAAGGAGAAGCTGAAATAGCCTCTCAAGGCTATCAGCACAGGTAGGAAAAAAAGTGACGCACATGGTCATATATACGTAAAGTAGCGATCTGATAATATCAAGTGTTGGATTAGGGTTCGCGCTATTGATTAAGTTTGAACAAATTGAATATGCCACGCGCCATGGCGCCCTGTGTTCAGCCCTCTGATCTTTCACAGCACCGTGTACTTGGCATCAAATGTCATCAGATGTGGTGAATGCGTAACAAACAAATAACCATAACTCACATACCCATTAATAACACATCTTATAGTATTCTATATAGTACGAATAAAGGTTCTTAACTATAAGAAGACCTCATTCAAAGTATACAGCAACAGAGCTCAGAGATTTGAGCCTTAAATACGACGCGATTTATGTCGTTCTATAAACGAAGTCCTTCTAATATTGTGCGTTCTAGCTTAACGAAAGTCGTAACCGCCGATGTTGATAAAGCCATACTTTAACATTCCGACGTGTGGACCATTATGGACGGCATTTCTGACGATCCCGACCTACTTCGTGAGATCTAATGAACTTAGGGTAACCATTAAGGTCGAGGATAAGAGAATTAAGCAATTTCACTTTATTTATTACTAGCTGCTACCCGCGGCTTCCCACGCATGGTCAACGGAAAAATGTCAGTGTAGTTTTCCGTGGGAATGAAATGGTCTTTTGGGATAAAATGTAGCCGGCGCCACTCTCCTGACCTAAAACTATCACTTTAAAAAAGTAATGTCAATCTGTTGCTACGTTTCGACGTGAAAGAAGGACAAACAAACAAATACACTTTCACATTTATAAATTTACTAGCTGTACCCGCTTACTTTGCTGGGCATTTAGAATTAACATTATTATTTCTCACCCCCATAAACATTCTCATCATTAACGCCCCCGCGACTGGTGTAGAGAGTCCAACACTCATATAAATATTGGCTTATCCATTAAGTACATGTATTTTCTACACGGATACCAAGTTTCAAGTCAATCGGATGCATGGTTCGGTTCAGTAGTTATAACGGAACATCCATAAAAACCACTGTAGATTTATATATTAGTATAGATAGTATGGATCACACTAGATAGCTAAACAAGACTACAGCTCACCTGGAGTTAAGTGATTACCGTCAACACCCATTTTGAAATTTGAGGTGACATAGACTTGAGGCAATTATTATAAATATAATTATTTCCTCATAGAAATTATAAGTGAATTGGTTTTTTTAAATATTTTACCTAACTATACGTATATCTTCTTAAAAAGTTGAATATTATTCACTTTAACGTCAATAATATATAAATTTAAATACGAAACTAAATTTTGTAAATGGGAAAATAAATAAATAAATTTTATATTTTAGACAAATTGGTCACCCTAATTTAATTACGTTTTATCAGTAGACACGTAAGTAACGGTCCTAAATTCGTGACACCAAATATATCTATGTACTCTTTAGTATAACGACGGATGAATGAGCTCACGGCCCGCCTGGTGCTGATTTGTTACCGGATCCCTGAGGTCTTAGCCTTAATTATATAGTCAAACCGAAACGCATTACTACTTCGCGGCAGAAATAGGCGGGGTGGTGATTGTTTGGCTTGACAATACGCCCTACCACTAGTGAAATTAGTTTTCGCAGTGTTAGCCTGGCATCTAATTGTGAGACAGCAAGGGAGATCTTCGGCCTATTTCTTTGAGCGACCGCTCAACATCATCTATACGAATTATGTGTAATTTTGTATGTTTGTAATCTTCCTTTTCTTTCTACCTATGCTGTTAGCCTTGAGAGGCTATGTCAGTGTTACCCTAGCGTGTAGGTGTTGCTGCAACAACCGGAGGTGTTGCTAACACTTGCCCTAGCAAGAGCAGTGCTTCGCGGAATCTACTACGGGATCGGAAACGCGACCCACAGAATAGATCCGGCGAGAAACTCGGTAACGCAATTGACGCGACGCTGTTCGAGCTACCAAAAAATTTACAGTGTATTCACTAGTTTTTTTTTTATTTATTGCTTAGATAGGTGGACGAGCTCACAGCCCACCTGGTGTTAAATGGTTACTGGAGCCCATAGACATTTACAACGTAAAATGCGCCACCTACCTTGAGATATAAGTTCTAAGGTCTCAAGTATAGTTACAACGGCTGCCCCACCCTTCAAACCGAAACGCATTACTTCTTCACGGCAGAAATAGGCAGGGTGGTGGTACCTACCCGCGCGGACTCACAAGAGGTCCTACCACCAGTAATTAGTTCATAATTTTATTACAAATCGACTGATAGGGAAATGTATGGATTGATTTTGACATTTCCAGCTTCACCAACACAGGTGGGTGAGCGCAAACTCAGCTAGGAAGAGTTGGAGTTGCTAATAGCCCGCCTCTGAAGGACCCCAAAGCAAAAAGGCAGCAATAAGGATAAGGTCCAACGAGAAACTAGACGAGCCTAGAGTATGCTCTACCAAGCACAGACCGGTCATCGTTCTCGTCGAACCCATCGTTTGCGACGAAGAGCTCGGCGAGTAAATTAACCCACAAATACAGCCCACTGAGTTGCTCGCCGAATCTTCTCAGTGGGTCGCGTTTCGATCCGGTGGTAGATTCTGCGAAGCACGGCTCTTGCTAGGGTTCGTGTTAGCAAAGTCGTCAGGTTTGAGCCCCGTGAGCTCACCTGCTACCTTGGTGAATCTAGAATAACCCCTCGAGGTTACTAGAATAGGTAGGAAAAAAAAACGCAAGCACACCTTTGACCAGTGTGCTTAGTGTGAGTTTTTTAATGTTCTCGATAGCATCAACGTTAACTCTAATGCGTATGAAGATGGAACATTTGCCTACGTTTACCACTAGAGACGCTGTTCCAACTGCGTACAAATTCGAGTTAACTTTTACGCTATCGAGAACGTTAAAAAACTCGCACTAAGCACACTGTGTAAATGTAACGGGTTTGTTTATTTTTCTGAATAACAAAATAAAGCGAGCGAAACCGCGGCCCACATCTAGTAATCAATCGAATTATCCAAGCTAACGTGAAAAATAATTCCCAAGATTTAATATTCACCAAAATTTTAACAATTTCATTATAATAATGGATACAGTTATTACTAGCTTTAAGTTAAGCTAGGTATAATGAAAAAATCAAGTTTAAATAAATAAAATGGTTCGGAAGATGGCAAACATATTTCGACGATTTAATTTTTAAATAAAAAGACAAATAATGCTGTGTCTACATTTATAATATTGTTTGTGTGGATTTTAAATTAAAGTCGGTCATTTTTCACGTCAGTACCGACCACGTCACGGTCAGTTCGCGACCGTGACATTGTCGAGTTATTGGGCCAAGTTCACTCTGGTGTAACAAAGGAATATGCACCTTAAACAGCATTCATACAGCTCACATCGTTAATCTTGTAATTATTAAGCTGCTATGTTTTTTTTTAATGTACATTGTATTTCGGACCGTGATTGTAGATGAAATTATGGTTCATTTTCGTTTGTAGGTCTGTACTGCAAATTCCAAGGTCACGTTGGTTAGAGAGAAGTGACAGTCAGTAGTGCATGATGGATTTCCTTTTATACATTTCCTTGTTGTTTGATAAATGTTTCAAGAGCGTTTTATAAATGGCGCTAATATGTTGTCAACGATTGTTTTGAAGCAGGTAGGGAAGTAGATAGTATTGTCTAAATAAATCGTATCGAAGTGTTTAAATAAATTAAATTACTGTGAATTTTTCAAATCAAGGAAGAAATCATCTTCAGTATTGTAGAAATTGTTTATTTTCTTATTTAGCAGACGACCCCCCTGGCGGTATGTGATCACCGTCGCTCATGCAGATCAGTAGTGCCCAGAACACAGCCAAGCCGTTGTTCATTGCTATATTGTCATGCTATATTCTAAGACATGTGGTTTTTTCGCATTAAAAGTGTACAATTTCTAAAAATATTCGAAATTGAGTTATTATGCGGAATCATTTATTTTGGTATCACCAGTATTTTTCTAATAAATTAAATACTGTCAAAAGAGCTTAGTTTTTTTTAGTTTACGATGCTTTGACTTCTATTAACAAAATGAATACATAATTTTATCTTACTTTAAAAGACAAATAATGTAACTGGTAAAAAATAAAAATAAACGTTGCAAAGATGATTAATATTTAAAAATATCACATGTTAAACCTTTAAAACACTCTCCTGTAAAATTAGTAAGTTTTAAGATTATACAGTTTTAATGCGAGAAGACGATGTATTAGTACTATTTTTTTACTACCAAAATATTGTACACGATCAGCTCCTGTCATTACAAATACCGCAAAATTACTTAGCGAAACTAATTTTCATTGACAACGTACATTGTCAGCGTCAAAACTGAATCTGGCACTGTGCCACAGGCGACAAATGCGCGGAACAAAACACCGACGGAGTTAGTAGGTACATAGTTGTTACCTTACCCGGAAGCGAAAATTGCATGCGTGTACTTATTTCATATACGTGGTCAGCTCAAGGCTGGCGCAAGGTCAACGACCTTGTGAGTACGATC